CGGACACTAGTCCAATCAAGATCCACTTGCTTATTTAGACATTCATAAATTAATCCGCTGATTCATCGATGCCTTCCTCTAAATGATCAGGCATTTAGCTCATCAATCCATCCACTCGTTAATTTACCCCACTTTAGCTGTTCAGTAACCCTGAAATAACTGCAAATACTTTTAACGACGAATGAAGGCTTGGTAGTTTGCTGGTCTTCGTTACAAAAAAAGCCTTGAGGCACTGCCTCATAAACGGGAATGAAACCACTTTTCTTGTGTGGTAAGTAGTCCTGATACATTCATCAAACCAAACCGACCTTGGCAATCGAAGTGTGGACAGTAGACGACGAAAACTTCTGGCAAAAGGAAAACGAAATGTTTCAACCATTTGCTTGATCATCTACCTCCTCATCCACCCGCCTGTTTATCTACGTACGAAAGTCTGCCAACTCGTTTGAGCATTCATCCACAATTTACTCTACCATTAACTTGTCTACCTTATAATCTGCTCGCTTATTCTTTCATCCGCCTACCTTTACTATTCTTTGGGATTTATCCCACCTGCTTATTTACTTGAGCATCTATTCATATTTATCATCCATCTAACCGACGACTCGTTTTTTCCCATTCTCTTCAAGTAATTTGCAGTCCAGAAAAAAATGTTTCCTTGTAAAAGCAGTAAAACTTTAAGGTAAGACGACTTTCGTCGTAAACATCACAATCGGAAATGCATTGTCCTGAAAGCGGAATACGCGTTCGCGTTGCGCAGAAAACTGAGACAGGTGTGTGTAAAGGACAGTTAAGCCAAGCACATATGCCAAAACAACGTTGAAGTTGAAAGAAGAAACCGTAGGCATTGAAAAGTGAAGTGACAACACCTGACAAACAGCCTGGAGGGAGCTGAGAGATATGGATTGCAAGACACAGGACACAGGATACGTGAGATAGCATCACAAAAGCTAGAAGTATGAATGCACTCTCCCATGGGGAGGCAAAAGATAACTACTTTCGAGTGACAGTTAGCTCAACTCGGGTCAGAGTCATCAAACCAACTTGGGTCACTGACACGAAAGGAAGGTGATGCAGAAGCGCATTTACTTGCCCTCCTATGCGGGTGGAACACTCTTGTCAATACTCTCCGACTTGTAAAATTGAAATGTACTTGGAAACCCTGTTGAAATTGCAAGCTAGCAAATGCTTACTTAAAGAAGCGAGATCGGTAATCTTCCGTATCACAGTGAGTTTTTTTTCGGGAAAAATCACAACGCTAGCGCAACGTTCTTTTGGTCGTGCATAGACGAAATGACTGCTTTTTTATCTTCCTATGGCATGGAAGCTTACCCTTGAGCTTGTCGGCCCGCGTGGTTACCCCACTAGAAGTAATGCCTCTGCGATAAACAGACTTGCTTCTGAACGACTAAATCAGTGCAAATTTTGCGTGACATCAGCGCTTTCAACTGCCAAAAGAGAGCTCAAGTAGATCAATCATCCAGACACATATTTCACTAATTACTTTGCATTCTTTTGGCTAAAATAGCCGAAATGAAACGAACTCCCCCTATGATTCCATTACTCTAGTCAGGATGAAGCAAATTAATCTTGCAGCCAGGTTCACTTGTTACGCGTCTCCCGCCGTTCCATTAACAAGAAGGGATTAGACGTACCATTATTTTCGTAGAATTGTGCAAAAGCCAAGTCTCCCCGTACAGTTATACTATTCACTTATATAGGTTTAACAATGTGCTTTAATTTGCTTAGTGACTAATCTCGAATATCCTGTCGCTTTTATTCTAAGTCAACCCAACATACTCGTAGGACCATAGCAAGCCAGACGCAGTCGACTTTTCGTTCAAATTTGCGTTCTCTGTACAAGAAGCATCAAATTCAGCTAACTGGGTGTGCATAATATTTTATTGTATTTATTGGTTTCTGGCAGAGCATTTTAAATCCCTGCATGGTACACTTTGGTTTTTACGGTTTGTGGAAGATGGGAATTGATAAGGTCCAATCTAGATGCGGATGCACACAATGGAAGCAAATTTAGAAGAACAATGGTTTGGAAGTGGAGTAAATGACCCGATTTTCCAGTCAATTAATTTTGCAGTGGAATTTCATTGCTTCCCCAAATTTGTTTTTCGTAGAAATTTCACAAAGAAGGCACGTTGACGGCACATGGCAACTCATTTCACCGCTAATGCAATTTCAGTGAAGTAGAATTTTTCCAGAGTAGGAATGGAGGGCAAGTTTTCCACCAGACATTGGAGTCTCATTTTTATTATTTAAAGCATGAAGTAGACCACTTTGTAAATACATCCTCTAAAAGGTATCTACAGCCACCGAAAACGACACAATCCAGTGTTTAGAAGGCGAAGAAAAAGAAGACAATGGAGGTTAAGAAGAAGAAGGAGGAGGAAGATTTAAAATTGTGCTTGTGCATCAGTGAAACTGAAGGTTAAAATCGCAAGAGACCCTTTCATTTACTGTGGCGGCGAATTGTGACGTAGGATGGAGTTATGGAAAGTTGGCAATTCTCTAGCATGGACCGCTTCCAGTAGTAAATAAGGATGGTAAATAAGGCATTCTAGACTTGTGACCTGATTAGCAAGGAAAAATCCTTTTTTGACCTTACAGAAAGAACTCTGCAGTGAAGTTTTCATCTGTTTACAGGAAAAGGAGCGTGACATAAAGTGAAAAGCGATTTAATATTGAATTTGGTAGAAACTGTCCTCAGCGCAGAGGTCTTGCAATAATAAATAGGGAATTGACAACATGGATAGAATGCCGAGGATGGGAACTAAACAGAACAGGACAGAACGACTGATAGAGGGTATTAAAGTTCGTTGACAATCTCTTTTATACGTAAGTTGACCATTGGAAGCATAGTAAGCTGAGGTTTTTAGGCTTCCATATCTTAAATGCCTGTGAAATATCGATGGAGATCTAACAAGTTTGATCCGAATCTATGAAATCCAGAACGAAACGGGCCTATTTTTCTGAGAAAACTTCGATTTCAAATGCCATTTAATCGGACAGAACAACAAATGTGCTAAAAAAGGCGGACTTCGGCAGTAAACACAGGGAACTATTTTGTCTAGACCGCTACATGAATCTTTTAATCTTGTACCTAAAAAGTTCTGAGAAATAATTTGTCGTTGACGCCTTGACACGGTTTTCAAAGTGCCACGAACCACGGTGACTGATTTCAAACGTCTCTGCGCTTACACAAACCTCTACTATCGTCTGCGATTCAACCTCCGTGTTGACAACACAGAACTTTGTTCGTCCCATCCACACTACTACCCATTCGGTTCCTTTCTCGGCTAACAATAAAGCCTTGTAATATGCTGGGGGTAACTCGGGCACTACAATTTTGGTTTTCCAGTAACTATGGGATAGGAGTACATCAATTGCGAAGATGGGCCATGTGCCATGTGGAAGATTTGAACTGGAACCAAGGTGGTAGATAATAATGAGTTGAAAGGAACTGTAATCCGATACAGCTAGAACATTGGTAGGATTAAAAACTCCTTCTTGTGTGACTCAAGACCTGACATTTCATTATTCATGACAAAGGTAAATGCAGTTCGCGTGCGATACCAAACGAGGGTCTGGTGTATCAGATGTGATTAACCAGTTCACCTACTCTCACGCCATTGGTTCCTGCCTCCCACACGCACGCACATGGACAAACCAGCCCAGTGCAGTGGTGAATATGTTGCAGCAATGTAAAGCAAATTCATGCTGACGAGCGGTCGGTCGGTTAGTTGGGTGGTGTGCTAATACAGAAGTGAGCAGGATGAAGCAATAAGGATGCTCGGGTTACCTTTACTCGTCCTCCTTTTCCACGTGAAATTATCCCACTCCATCAATTGTGAACTCAGCTTTCGGCCACAACTGGCCAGGAGTACTCAGCTGCCCCAGTCCTATTCAAAATCACCTTCAAATTCCTCCAACACCGCCCAACAACCCGTCCTCCAATCTGGTGAGATTATGCGCTTTCTAATAAACTGTTCCTGTTGCAATGGAACTGCTTCAATCGCTGAAAATTTCTCAACCCCAGGAGCTCTTTTCTATCGCATTTTTGCTGAGAATCGCTACTCTACGATCATCAGCCGACAGCCTAATGTTGATCCAGTCATCCGAAGTCGGTTTGAATCTGCAGGGGACATGTCCACCAAGTACGATGAGTGTAGAAACTACCCTCTGTGTGCAGTGCTCTACACTCCGGTGAGGAGCAACGATCAAGCCATCAACTACCCCTTTTGGGTGGAAGCAAACCTAATTGGTCGCAGTGCAATTCGGGTGGAATTAGTATGGATCAATGCAACACAGCGCGAACGGCCCGACGATATTCCTCTACCCTCAGCATTGGGGGAGAAGGAAATTCGGAAGCTGAAGAAGAGCAGCATAGACCAGAGACACAAACAATTCACCTTTCGGGTAGTTGAGCAGGGCAGAGTGGCAGGGGCACTCAACGCCACTGCCTCATATGTCACTGTGTTTCTGAAGCCTCAGCTTTTCTATACGATCTTTGATTGGTCCGTCTTCTTTGTGGCGGGCACTATTGCACTCTCGGCTGGATGCAGTACCGACCCACGGACTTTTTGGCGTCAAATGAAACGAAAACCCCTGGCGGTTGCAATGGGACTTATCATTCATCTTTTCATCACTCCACTGGTAAGAATCTTCCCCCATTCGAAATTTGATATATCAGGAATGAAAATCAAAAGCAATGCAGGAGTAAGAGAGGGAATGATGACAACGTAGGCGTAAATTGCTTGAGAGAGCAGAACACGAGGTTAGGAGCTGTGTGGCATTTGCAGTGAGCACACCAGCGCAGATTTGCGCTGGTGAAGAAATAAATGGCTAACGGTCTATCACTTCTAGTTGGTAAGCACGAATGATCACGAGAGCTAGCGACGGAATCGATGAATCAGACTCGCCCTCGGCATGTCGGAGAATTTTGTAATAAGGTCTTAATTAAACCACTCATGCATAACACAACGAACCTATTCCAGGCACCATTATCCTCTGTCTATTGTGCGAAGGGTCCCGTGAGATGAGTAGATAAGTAAGGGGACGGTCTCGCGGAGGCAAAGACTAAACTTTTGTAAAGCCATTTAGATACATCTGGCCTCGGTCACTCTCGTCAATTCCTAACAATCCAATTAAAGTCTCACCTCCTGGACTCCGACCTGTTTAAAGTTGGTTACAATTTTACCATGGTAAACTTGAATGAGGAAATAGACTTGCCCTCCATTCTGTTGTCCTTTCTACTCGCGAGTTTAAAATTAGCAACCAATGTCAGAATAATCACTAGCGGCACTTTTGAATGGGTTGCCTTCCTTTTTTGAATTGGAGCAGCTAATCACACCAACACAAATTTTCGTCGGTTTTTCGTAAATACAAGAAATAAAAACGGCAAGTAAAATGTGTTATGATACTCTCCATCTGTGTCTGGAGGTAGGCTAATTTTGACGGCTAAAGCACATTCACAACACGCACACCAACAATTCCGCCTTTCCCTGCTCCTCCCGCCGACATTAATTCTGGATTGTTTACACAGGAGGAAAAAGAGAGGCTTGTAACATTAGGAGGGAAAATCGCCTTACAGAAAGTATCAGCACATCCACTACCAGTATCACATGCATGTGGCCTGTATTCCTGATCATTTAAAGATAACAACTGATTCCAAAAAATCGTATATTGTTTGAGTTTATGGCAACCAGAAAGAGGAAGATTTTTCCTGGTCTGAGGAGAAAAGCCACATTTGTCTTGTTTTCGAGTAGCAGTTTCTTTTAAGAACAACAAAATATCCGGGATGTGATGGCAAATTTTCCTCTGAGATCCTGATAAAAAAGTCATTAGCAATGAAGCAATGGAGGGATCAAAACCTACTACAAAACTTTAAATATAGCTATCACTTTTCGAAATTATGGAGGGACACCATCGTCCGTGAATATTTAAGTACGATACTATCTTCTTCGAATAAGTATTTAGTGAGGTTTTACAAAACTAGGATTCGCAAAAACAGGGGTAACTTGATGAACAAAGCCCCATCAATGACACGAATCTGCGCCAGATATGAAGCGATCTCCCATTCATGGGATCTGCATAGATGGCATATCCTGGGTAGTATGAATCACCGACTGAACGAATGGTTTTGTAACTGAATGCCGTTCAATCCACTCGAATTAGTAATCCCGGCAAAGCAAACTTCCTCAGTCAACTTAGTAATGCTAAGATTCAGAAGCTTTGTTAATGATCTAGAGCTTAACACGATCAATTTACATGCCAAGATGCCATCAAGTTATGACTAGTAATTCTGATTCATTTAAACATTCTCAGGCGTTGTATTTGTTGCCATACCAAAAAAGGTAAAAGAGTAACCTTCCAGTTAATCATCATCTGAATGCGTCATTTTGTATCTAATCTCAATTCCCAAAAATATATCCTCTTGATGAAGAGAGCCTTCTTAGTTAAATTTGTAAACTGGGCAAGGAAACTGAGAAATACCATCATTTCTAGGTAGGTGGAAAATGATGCGTTAATTTCTCAAAGCTCAGCACAATTGTCCATGCCATCAAGGTGTTATCATGCTGTAACGCTCTTCCACCTTCATAAACGCGTTAACACTGCATAGATGGCAATATATGTGGGTCAAGATATTGAATTCAAGGAAATATTTTGCCACTATCGAATTAACAAGCAACAAGCGGGTAAATCGACAGCAGGAAGATGGGGTGGTAGTAGTGATGAGGCAATATTTAAAAGCCAAAAAAACTGCACTAAATCACACACCATGCCCACCGATGTGACTGATGGGGAAATCTTCCTAAAAATGGCAAAAGATGGGCAAATATATTCACATAAGCTAAATTGTCTATCATTTCGCCTTGACCTTGTGCAGGGGAAAAACATTGGTTATGGGAACATTTTTGGCTTGTTAGGTGCCCTATTGCAAACCAATGAGGGTTGTTTACCTCATAGCACTTGTGTAAACAGTGAAGTGGTACAGGAACTAGCCCCTAAAAATACAGCTAAACCAGGTTATAGGGGATAATAGAATTGCGAACGAAGTTTTTCGAGACTAGTGAGGTATGAAATTCCTAGTTCTTACAAGCTGCAGTGGATACTATGGCGGAGAATCACCATTAGTCCATAGTTCAAACGGCGTTAATAGTGGGGGATCCATACTCCAATGGTTCAAACATAATTTTCGCAAAAGCTGCTTTCGCTCTAGCAGTTTTCATAAATCTAGTCTCACCTTGGATCTCTCACCTGGCCCAAAACTCATTTTCAATAGTAAAACCGCCCATCGAAACGAAATGAGTTATCCAAACAAACTGAGTATGTGTTCCTTCTGAGTCCTTCAATGGAACCGCTCTTCTATAACGACGCAATTGTTTCCACTAATCCAATTGTTCAAGCTTTTATTTAACAGCAAAATCACAAATAAATAAAACAGTATCATGGAGATATGAGCGCCCGCATAGGAGGTTGGCCAAAAAAGTGATTAAGACTATTCATTCACAAAACATCTTAGATTATTTCTTGGTTAAAGACGCTAAACATTAACCAAACAATTTTAAATGAAAGGGGGTAAATGTGTTCTCTTCATAAGGAGATCCAACTCATTTCTTAACCCATCTGTTAACAGGGTCTCAGAGGAAACTTTATCACCATAGCCCAGATGACACCAATGCACTACCCAAATGGGAAATTTAACTGATTCTCAAAAACTAAAAAGGGCAATTATCTCCAGACTAGGGACATCCTGCATCTACTTTATTGCTTCTAGACTCAAACAATCCATTTGCTACCTATGATTTACTATAGTCAATTTGCATAAACTGATGAAAAACATGCTGTCACCTACCTATGACGCCAAGATCAGGCGAGAAAATCGGGATGTTAAAAGCATACGAAGTCGGGTACTAAGACATGAAAACATTTTCATTAGTATGCGCCAAGAATCTGCCGTTCACTTAAGTCTATCGTCCACCCTTGAGCCGTTTCGTTTACAGACCTCGAGTCTCTAGTCTTACAAATTAAACAATTGATTAATAGAGTGAAGTGTAAGTAGCCTAGTTGAAAAAAATAACAGGTTTCTTAGTCGAAAACAGTAACAGATAGGTGGAAATCCAACCACTAACTGCTAGAGCAAAGGAGAAAAGTGGACTAGAATCCTTAGCACGACAGATTTATGTTCGAAAAACGGTTTTAACGAGAAAGCGGAGGTAAGATTCGTAATGCCCATTGAATCGAGGATCGCCTGTTTCATTACCAACCCACATAGTACCGAACTAGGCAGACAAACCCAGATAAATCCACCCTGTATGTGAAGGTTAAAATGGCTGCAAAAGCTGTGTCATCTTTTCTGCGGCATGATTCCGATCGCTTTCGTTCTTTTTTTGCCAACAAAAATGCAAAACTTACCCAATACCTTGTGTTGAATGAATCTAGTAGGGTTTTGCCTTACTTTTACTGAACAGTTGCAACTAATAAGGCGCAAAACTAACTGATACATCATGCTAGTTTTGGCAAAAGTTGGGAGATATTATGAGTACTCAAATTACAATAAGTTTGTAAGGGTTTTATAACTTATTGGAATTGTAGCCGCGTCGAGTTTGACAGCCTCTCCAATTCACAGAGCCACTACAGTCAGCTTGCAGCATATTATCAGCAAACTTAGAGTCATCTCAGGTCTCTTTACATGACAAGATTAAAATTGCCTCCCAGCTCAAAACTTTCTAAATCACTGACCCATATTCTGTGCGTGCTTTCATTAGCAGCCATACCCTCACCCTGCCAAACACTTCATCTATTGGTATTTCTGGCCATCTTTGCTGCTACATTGGTTCCGAGAAAAAGTTCAAATCCACGGGATACTGACTTATGCCCCTTCCGCAAAAAGCGATCACCTTAAGGAAAGGAAACCGAGGCGGTAGTTAAATCATGAGCAGCCAAAGTGGTAATATCAAAATGTAACACCGAAAAGTACGCTTAACTGCTTGCACACAGAAAAATAGGGTGAAATGAGGAAAGCTTCATGGCATCGGTGTGGAGGTCGGATCGCAGGAGACCACTTACATTAGAACTAAATGGTAATCCGTTGCAAAATACATTAAAATCAAGGAAACTGCTTACTCTATATCCGGTGACCTGATAAGTTCTCTCGTAGTTGAGGTTATTTGCGTAGGAATTCCTTCGTCTAATGCACAATCAGATGGAGCCCAGTGCCTAAAATACCCTTCTGAAATTATTTTTAGCAAAGCCCTATTCTCTTAGGAGAATTTTTATGCAAGATGAATGGCTATGTGGTTCGCAATCACCTATAATTGCAAATGGAAACAAATTGCTCTTGAATTAGCTCATTTGTCATTACAAAACGTGGAAATCGCCAGGTGACAGGCTACTTAACTTCTACTTTTAAGCACTATTTTACAAGGTGAAACACAAACTAACCGGTCCCGTGCCTTCATGATAATAATGGAGAACAGGATAAATCAAGATGCCATTTTAGAGGATAAACCAACCTCCAACATTAGTACTTCTCAAGAAACTTAGTGGTAAGCTAGCTGCTCTCCCAATCCCTGGTAGAAACAAATGCTTCCAAAGTTAAATAAGTAAAATACAAAGGCAAAACCCTATCAGAGATTACTTATCCGTGGAATTGGAAGGCCCCTAGCAAGTATGAAATACACGCAAAGAAGTGATTAATATGCTTATCCCTCACGCTCCACCACCCCACTGCAGAAACAATCTACCTTACTGCTAGAAGACATTCCTTTCCTCACGGAATTAAAGGCAGAGCGGTGAGGAGCAGGAAGAAAAAAGTGGCATTACAGTTTCATTTCCACCAGATAAGGGAGATAAAGAATAGAACTCCTCAGTAAGTTACTCTGTAGAATAGCAGGCAAAAGGGGACAGAGTACAAAGTGTTTGCGTGCCAGGGAGGAATAAATTTTGGAAGCAATGTCACTTTATTACAACCTAGATGAAGGTATGTGAGTGAACAGGGTGCAATGGAGCCAATGGAGCAGTACAAACAGCTCAAAATATCAGCAACTAAAGCCTTTCGCTGCCTAAAGTGCGATTTTAAGTAACAATACAAAAAATTCTACTGATGGCTTGAAATTTTTACTCTATCCAGCCACTTGAGACACCTGAGTTGAACGCCATAGTTTCCATTAAGATAGCGTCTTCGTTAAAAATAAATTTAAAATCAAAAAGTTTACACTGAGCACACCATCATCGGTATAATTTGTTACGCTGACATTTGAATTCCCCTAAGATGGCACTGAAGAGAAATCCCGATACTCGAAATGATATTCTGACAGCCCCTTGTTTCAGTATTACCCAAAGAGTAATTTAGATCTCCATTCAGAGAAAACTGGTCTTTTCAGCCAGACAAAAAAGTTGCGAGATCTCGCAAATAACACAATATCCAGAGCTAATGCACTCATCCCGAAAGTTTAATTTTACCCCAGACTTAGCAACGCACAATTTTAAGGCAGAACCTGTGTTTGGGTAAACACCATTAGAGGCAGGAATGAAAGCAGTGGAAAACAACCCCAGAGCGCGTCGTCAGACTGAGTGCTTGAAAGAGCAGGAGGAACCTATCATGTTGCTGAAATAGAAGTAATGCTAATCTCACATAATAGTACATATTTTCACTGCTCGAATAATCACTTCATTAAGGTTTTAAATTATCAAAAAAGACTACTTTCCGACAAGAATGTGCCAATTGCTGAGGTAGTTACACTTTGGAAACATCACAAAATTATTCCTGTCGGTGTGATTTATTACCAGTCATTGTTGAATAAAAAAATAAACGGGATGGAAAAAATTGTTTTACAACTAAATCACCTTAAAATACCGCTTAATTTTACGCGAGGAGTGAATTTTACCCTATACTTCAACTTTCTTAAAAGTAAAGTGGACTTAGCTGTGAAAGAAAAAACTGAATTGTGCGAAAATTCTGTCATAAAGCAGCTATTCCAAAGTGAAATAACGGTTTACTGTGCCTAAGAGACTTAAAATGGTAGCTATGCCAAATTGTGTTGCCACGGAGCCTAAGATGAATAGATATACCTACTACACTATAGAAGACACCAGTCACAAGCCGAAGTGTTAAAATGCCAAACGGAAATGTTGCCGAGATACTGAGAATACACCAACAGATACTTTTAACAAAAACCCTTTTTTATATTACCTTAGCGAGATAAATGTCCTGGATGTCCCACCATAGAAAACCAATTCTCTGTTGCCATTGAAGCATTGGGCCTCAGACACATTACGATTCCTGCTGAATGACCTTTTATGCATCAGAAAAGCCCATCAGTGGGATAAAATGTCGTAATAGAGAAGTAGAGTCTGTTCATTTGCCTTCATTAGATCGGCCTGGTCTCGGGGTACGCAAGTTGCCTCTCACCGGAGAAGACCTATGGTCTGTTCATCACTACCGCTTTGCAAGTCGGCACCCCCGGTCTAGTAGTCATCTCCCTCTCCGACTGCCACGAACAATTCGCTCTAACTCTCGCAAATCTAGCCAACATTCTGAATCTCGGTGAGCACATCCCATTCATTCCTTGTATGCGTGAATGTGAGAGGTCTGCTAATGCCCTGAAAGTATTTTAGCTTCGCTGAGAGTGAAGCCTTTCATTAGGCAAATTTTGCCAACTGTGGGAAGTACATCCAGTGTTTTAGGGAGTATCTGAACCATTAAGCTGGTAATTAAGTGTACAAATGCTTACACTTTTAGCTTAGTCTAGTTTCTTTTAAAAGCATTAGGTAATACCGATCTATCCTTCTATGGGAAGAGGTTAGTCTAGAGCTGTTAATAAGATCTACCGTGAAGGCATGCCAGATTGGCTAATGGGGAATCCTTCTTCAAAGCTGATTTACTTTAAGCCATTGAAGCATCGCTTGAGGTAATCCTTCCTCTAGAAGCAAGTAGATCCGTAGTTTTCATGGAAATAGGAGATCAATCCCTCATTCCCTACAGACTTTCAGAATGCATTATGCAGCTAGCGAATCCACAGATGCTTGCAGTATTCACATCCACGGCAAGGATTTCCTCTCAAATGTGATCTCCCCCATGGTGGAAAGTAACAGTGACTCCGTTTCGAAAATAAATAGATCCAACCATACGATTAATATTAAAAGCGCGTCAATCGTTCCGTGGACACTTTACGGAGTTCATTCAGTTTTCACCTCACAAGTTTCGCTTCCTTCAAGCTATAGAATGTTATCAGACACTAAGCGTATTTAATCGCTCATAGACCCTACAGAACTCATTGAATAACATAAAGATCCAAAAGCGATTGTTGTGCCCATTCCGTCTGCCTTAGCTCTTTGTCCCCATAAGAATTCATTAATGGTTTAAGACTTTTTTCAGCCCTTCTATACCAGTATATTCAAAAAGATAATTAATGATCCTTTCCTTCCCTAAAGCACAAGTTATTAGAAATAGAAATGAACACTTTTTCACCAACTTCACCTGAATTTTCAGTTGCATTAACACTGGAAGCTCAGCGTATATCTACATTGAGCAACCTATTTAAAAGGCTAGACAAGACTGCACCCATTCATAGCTTAATGGAACAGGACCATAAAATTCGTATTAAAACGGAGGACGCAAAAATCGACTAATCAAGGGACTAGTGTCAAACGAAGGTAACGACATAATGCATTGTCTATTTAGCCATTAATTTAGTTCATGCACAGATAGGAAGTGAGACTGGGATCCCTTCCCTTAATCATCCTCATAGGGTCCAAAGACCAGCAAGCACAAGTTTATCAATCGTCTGTTATCGCCGAAGCTCACGCCTTTAAATGGATGTCTAAAACCAAATTGTAATCCCGACGCCATTTACAATAGTTTTTAACGACTAAATATGCACGTTCACGCGAGGAAGTGAAGAAGCAAACTATTTTCTATGCAGAATTCTTTTTGATTAAAAGTGAAAATTCCTATATTTATTCAGCACGTCGGATTGAAACCTTCACACCTGATAGCAGTGTTCAAACACAAAACTCAAAAACTACCGCCACGATTGTAAGGAATTTATTCATGCAAAACAATGTAAAGTGCACCAAAAATAGGACTGGTGACCAATAAATCCCCACTTACGGTATCAACGCAAGAGATAAGGAGGGTGACAAGAATTGCTGTTACCCTAACATTAGTTTTAATCCCACACCATTAAACCCCCGTGATTCTTTTATCCAGGACATTGTTAGACAAAATGGATGAGGTTTCGGTATATCCATTGGCTTTCAAAATGGCGTAAATGTCCAACCATCCTGTTAGCATTTCAAGTGGTAGAAACAAAGTTAAAGTAAAAATATTTTCTCTCCTTAGCTACCGCGCCTCTGTGGGTACATACGGTGGGAACCTACGTCTTCAAACAGCCAATACTCCTGCTTCGGTTCTGTGGCTTAATCACTCTGGTGGCATTAGTACAAGCTCTCGGTTTCCTATTGCGTTATGCGCGCCCCTCGGTCGCTAATGCCGTAGTAACTTGGTTCTCCAGGCCCTTTCTGCTCCTCGCTGCCATTCTCTTCATCACCCTCGGTGTCTACATCAACCAGTACGTCTTCCAGGCACCTCAACAAATCACCTACCTTCAACACGTCAGCCTAGCACTCCTTTTCATGCTCACCACAAGTTATGCTTGTGGTTGGCTAGCTGGTCTCATTCTCAACCTGAGAGTACAGCGGAGTCGAGCGCTAGCCAATCAATTGTCCGTCTACCAAGGTCTTCTCGCTATTCCCCTTCTACGAATTTGTGTACCCTCTCCCGAAGGTGAACTTGCCTCCGCTACAGCCCTTTGGACCGTCTTCCTAACACCCGTTCCCCTCGTCTACAATGCAGTCCTCACGGTGGGTGGACGATGTCACTAATACTTAAATCTACCTAAGTAAACATTATTCTTTCTTTCAGTTTACTATTCGAACTATCAAGTCCGCCTACAAAGCGCACAAAGTGCGAATGCAAAAACGCGGTCCCACTGCTGTTCTTTGTGCTGATTCCCTAGCAGCGGTCGCCTTCACATCCATGTTACTGCCGGAGACGACAGAGCACAAACACAAGAGCGCGACTACCAACAATGAGATATTATTTGATGAGGCTTCAAATAGTACCATCAATACTGCTCCTGCAAGTCAACGGCGATGCAAGAGCGCTACTGTGAGACCAACAGCTTCCGCTGTCTTCTCCCTCAAAGATAGTGTTAGCGACGTGGAAAATCGTGAAAGAATTTTGGAGGCTCTGGCACGCAAGGGTGGTGTTAATGTGAGCGAGAAGAAGGGAAGGAAGAATGGTGGAGGGATACCAAGAACACCGCATCATCATCCCAGATCAATGGACGATGGCTGTAGCATTCCGAGTGCGTGGGGTGGTGCAATCAGTTGTGGCGGTGGGGGAGGAGGCGGAGGAGGCGCAGCAGTGCCGCTGGCACCACCACCGCCCTCGTCTAAACCGATCTTTTGAATACCATTACTACTACTGAAATGCTGCTGTTTACATCCGAAAAAATAAGTGCATTTTTGTCTCCTTTGTAGATCTGTGGGAATTGCCTTTGTAACTAAGTGGGGAGCGGTGGTGGATAAGGGAAATTTAACTTCGTGAGAGATAAAAAAACCAAGTGTATTTGAGTTTTGAGGACTCCCTTGATAAGAATATGAGTAAATCAGTAATTACCAAGCAAGATGCAGCAGCACTGACAGCCCAAGTTGCCAAGCATTGGTTTAGTGGATGAATTTAGGAATGGGAACTTAACCTTGGGTACAAGTCAGTAAAGCCAAAAAACAAGATTGTAAGATAATAGATAAAAGACGGAATCTGAGATTGCTAATGTAACACTTGAGCCTAATTAAGTTAAAAGGCAAAGGCGAATTTTGGGAATGAACAAAAATAGCCCAGGCAACGGAGATACATTGAAACCAATACCCAAAACGAATACTGAAGGAAGAGATAGCTTTACACTTCTGTTCAGAATTCAAAAAAATAAGCGGTTAAGCCCCTGAAATACTGCTTTCTAACTGTTGTAATCCCATATTTACAGTCGAAGAAGCCTAACGAATTAAGTATTCTGCCAATTTCCAGGGCAGAGCAATGGTGAGAATTAACAGAAGCGAAATCCAAATAACTATACTGCACATGATTCACCATCAAAAATTTGGGCAAGGTAAAGTCCAACGTATCAATAAGCTACAATAAGCTCCCTGGATACTTATGAGAATAAGAACAAATAGCCGACATGAATTAAACGTCCCAACTTGTCAATACAATCCGACTAAAAAATGAGCTCCATCAACTTGGCAAAAAGGATACTACTCCCCCACCTCCTTTAATCAAGGTGTTGAACAGAGTAAGCTAGAATTCAATAACGGTCTTCGTTTTCAGAAAGTATCGCCTTAATTAAGGCTAGTCGCGAAGCCCTATCTTGAGTGTTACGCAACTAGTTACATATTTTATAACAACGAGGACAGGACTCATAAGGCTGAGAATAGGGGTCAGTAATTTTCCGAAGCGTCCCTATGAAATTACAATAAAGTTGGCGCAAATGAGAAATTGACATATGGCAAGGAATTTTATGAAATAGTATAAAACATAAGGTTCGGGAAGTTTCTTGCAAGACATTAACTGGGCTACAAGTAATAAGTGAAGGCTATAACGAACATTTCATTGAACCGATTGCGCATGAGTGGACGAGCATATTCACTTTAATGAAACAAACACCACATGATCACCCGTCCTACCAAAGGCAGTAGAATCAAAAATAATGAGGAAAAATTTAACTTGGATGACCTTAAACACTACTGAAATACGTACCGCGTAAAGAAAGGAACTGCTTGCTCGGTTCAGCCTTTACTGCCATTTGGGCTATTTCCACGCTTTTAGGTAGGAGCTAGGACATTGCACAACTCTTAGCTATTATTGGTTGATCCAATGACAACCAATTATAGCCAGAGTTTGAACTAGGTTACCCAAAACAGGTACTCATTTCTAAAAGCAGCACAATAGTTTTCAGTATTAGCAATCAGGAAAAACGGTAACATGCAGAGCCCCCGCCCCGTGTTTTGATAATACTGTGGGTATATGCATCAAGGAATGAAAAAAAGCATTGGATATTTATGAACTATAAAACTCCAGAATAATGGGTCTCCTCATCGTATTGCAGATTCGGATTTCTTTATTTTTAAACAAGCACAGACATTTTATTGGTGATAAACCCTTAAAATGATGTACTTGAGTTGTTCCTCTCTTCTACTTCCTCCTTCAGACCCTTGGATTTTAAAGATTGTCTTGGGGAAGACAATATTATGCTTGCGCAATGCATAGGGGCTCACAGATCAAGAAGTCCTATAAGAGTCAGTGCCTGTCCTCCCTTCGGGTGCTCCTGGCGCTCGCTCAGTCGCAAAGTTAGCGCAAATTAATCCCTTGTCGCTCAGAAGGCGTATTTAGCAGGTGTGAATTAGGGACATCACTTCGTAGAAGTTGGACATCTCACACATTAGAAATATTGCAAAATGAAAGGCTGGTCATGGGAATCAGCCAAGATGGGCCCCTTTATAGCACTGGAAATTTGCTTTGAAGCACGGTAATACGGTAGTTTATCAAGTCTGCAGAATTTGTGTTGCACAGTTACCTGTCGCCTGCCATTTTTGCCATTCCTCTATTATATAAGGATAAGTTTAAGCTAGTGTTGCAAGTGAAAGATCCCGTGGCTTTTAGCCTAACCTTATAGAAGGGAAACTATTTCATGAATATTCTCAACTTAAGTCGGACTTACATACTATAGCACGATTGTCGTTAAGGCTTTTGAATTTGTTGCAATATTTAAACAATCCTTAAGTTACCTCATAAATCAATTATTCCTTTGAAAATATTACAAGCGGTACTGAGAAATTGGCCTGAAGCACACAAGTCATGACCAAGCGGCAAAAGGGAACCAGTAACTTCCCGCAGAATCTTAGTCAAAAGGGAACGACAAGACCATATCACCTACCACAATCTCGTGCTGACTTTACAAACGAATAAACGCCAAGCTTAAGCTATTTGGAAAAGCCAAAACAAGCGAAGCGCCAGGGACAATGGTCAGACAAGAGAGAAGCCATATGGTGATTAGATATTAATAAAGAGATCCAAAACTTCCTTGCAGACGTAAGAAGACATAATAATCAGACTGAATATGTATAGCAGACTCGCATGGAAGATTATGCCTACAGGCATAGTCTAGTGGCCAGGTAGCCTGGAAAGCTCACAGTTTGGGAACTCTGTAACATGAGCCTCGTTTATCTCTGCGCTAAGCTATTTAAATATTTAACCGTACGCTTAACTGTGAGGCCAGTTCATCATATGGAGGTATATTTTAGTGGACTACTCTAGCATCCCCCTTTTTGTCTTCGCTTTAGTTGCATACGCCCTTTCACAATACCGTAGCTTGTAACACCTTCAGCGAAGACTCTGATTACTGCAGTTTTAACAACTTATGTTTTGTGTACTAAGGCCATCGAATAGGTTCGCTCTAACGCATAAACCAAATCAATCCATCACAAACTTTGCGTTAGCTAACAATGTTTTAACCGGTATTTTACATTCCCCTGAACAATTTCGACCAGTTCTAAACGGAGCCTAAACACAGCATCTAACACGTTTGCTTTTGTTTTTTATGGTTGCATTAGACTATAAAATTATGGTTAGAATGGCGTTGGGACCTTAACAATACCGTTTCCTTTGTTATAATCACCTTAAAATCCAATGGCCTTGTTTAAGCTTCTCATACCTCCTGATTACGGTTGGTAGCGGTCACAGTTGGTGGCCTCTTTGACTCCGTCTTGGTCTTTGTGCGTTAAGCGTACGATTTCTTTATCCTAATCAATAAGTTTGCAATGGGTTGTATTCTCTCTTGCTTAGCCTGCTGCTTTTGCAATGCAGCAACAAGTGTGTGCTGCAAATGTCTGCCGTCTTGCAAAAACTCCACTTTAACGAGATTATTTTATGGGCTAGTTTTGCTTATTGTCATAACATTCTCCTGCATTTGTCTGAGTCCAGAAGTGGAGAAGCTCTTAAGAAAGATACCGTCACTGTGCCCGGGTGGATCAGATGATTTGTGCGGGCTAATAACAGGATACGGTGCGGTTTATCGAATGTGCTTTGCTCTCACCCTATTTTTCTTTGTCTTCTCCCTCTGCATGATTAATGTCAAATCCTCCCACGACTTCCGAGCAGCGATTCACAACGGGTTTTGGTTCTTCAAAATAATCGCTATTGTGGGCATTATGATTGGTGCCTTCTTTATACGCGATCCCATGTTTCTCTATATCTGGATGATCTTCGGTCTGATCGGTGCCGCCCTCCTTATTCTCCTTCAACTCCTACTTCTGATCGATTTTGCACACTCCTGGAATGAGAAGTGGACGGAGGCCTACAACGAAACCCATCATAGGGGCTACGCTTGCGGTCTCATTTCCTCTACTGTCTTCTTTTACGCTATTAGCATCGCTGCAGCCGTTCTGTTCTACGTTTTCTTTGGCTCCTCTCCCTCTTGCCACCTGGGGAAAATGCTCATTAGCATTAATTTGATCCTTTGTGTCACCTTGAGTGTCATTTCAATCCTACCTTTTGTTCAAGAAAACCTACCATCCTCTGGCTTACTTCAGGTGGGTCATCTAGTCATATTTGCCTACAAAATCCGCTAATAGTTGCCATCAGTTTTTAAGATTATTTTGTTATTAGTTTTATAACTCTAACAGATAGCAATATTTTGAGGGGTCTCTGTCGAACTCATTCATTTGCTCAGTAAAGCATGCAATACTCCGCATTGGCGGGATTCCGTGTGATTATCAGGTTATTCTACATGGCACAATTGTCTACGTTCCCCAGTTACAATTGTGCATCTGATTCCGTAATGTCTGAATCTTTGATTTTTTTCGTGCTTAGAAATCATACAAAGAGCAAGGTTTTACGGATGACTTTTCATTCATTCGTGATTTTCTAATGTTTTTCATTTTTATCAGTTCAATCGGTGCTTTGTCCAAAGTGATTGCGTCGATTAGCGGTATCCTAAGATGCTCGGTGTCCATTGGTTTCGACTGTTTTAAGTTGAATTTCAGAAATGGTGAAATAAATTGGGAATGCTTTATTGATAGCAGCAAGTGTCCAATCACTCTTATCAAAACGAAAATGTGTACCGTTAAATGCCGACACAAAACGCGATTCTTCAAATGAGATGTTATGCGACAGTGGACCGATAGGGCACTTGAACATTAAGTATCGTTATTTCTAACTTGTAAAATCCCTATTTCAAGTCGAAGAACAAAGTCTCACACCTTGACCTCTAACCGGACTGGATCGATTGATATGATTTTCCTTTATTCTAGAGCATCAGCGAGACGATGGGCTTTTATTTCAACGCAAAATTACTCCTCTGCCTGTAAATCGGTTTGAAAGGTTGTTGCCGTCTCCATTGGCGTTGTAACTTTTATCTCAAGCGTCCACTTTGGTCTCAGGTCATGGCTCAAGTTTGCCACCGTTAAAATATGCCTTCTGATACTGATCAGTGCATTGTGTGTGCGTTCATTATCTGTTTTCGTCCTGGCCTGCTTTTGACACCCAAACTGCTCCGCCATGGTTCCACGCAGTAAGCCCTATTCGAAAATAACATGAATCTCCCTGCAAGTGTCCCAACAAGTACGTCTCTTAAAATATAAGTAACATTGTACCGATGTTGGCGTATCTTCGCGCTCATTAAAGATTATCATGAAAATATGTTGTCAGGTGTGCCGGAAGGGGGCATCGGTCCTGAAATGCATGCTTGATGCATAATAACTGATCCTTCCTACCTATAGTCAGTGCTTCAAGTGACCATTTTGCTCGATTTATATCAATTTCCATCACCTGTCTGTGAAAGATGGACATATCGAAGTGTTTCGTTCAATTCTGTAAAGAAATAAAAATTAGGGTTGGGGTCCTTTATGCATAACGACCCAATGAGAACGCTCTTTTGCTTATTCTGCCTAGTCGATATCGAGTCAAGGTAGGTTAGATGAGAAATTGACTCAATGCTTTCGACCTTTTCCCTACTCAATGCTTCAAGAGCTAATCGGGAATGGCAAGGGTGCTGATTCTTAGTCTCGCTATTTTTTGAAGTAACTAATTTGAAATCACCGTCTCTAGTGGATTTTCTTAAATTGTGTTGAATGTTATACACACTCCAATTTTTAGCATTAGTTAAGCGAACCTGACGCTTTTATACTTCATGATCTACCACCTGATAAATGTAGTCTTCTGAAAATTTTGTATTCTCCTTATCATTTCCCACCAAGGGAACGAATGAATTGGATTATGCTGCAGGACAAAATGTGGGTTCTCAGATCGAGATCGAATGTCTCTGTATTAGATGACTTTAAGGCGACTTACACATCAGTGCGATGTAAATCGGGCTATTCTTAGGCTGTCATGTATACTACTTTTTATGCGCCGGACTTTTTAGCCAGTGATTTTGAAAATAGAGGAGATATTGCTATTTCTTCTTTGTTTTTGTTTGCATGATGTCCAATCAGCTCAACACACAAAACGACCAATTTGGTACGTGCCAGGAAACGCTAGTTTTCCAACCCTTACTGCTTAACCTGATAAAATACTTTTCTACTGCTCGCCTGTATTACCTCCAGAGCCTTCTCCCTACAAATATAGTCGGGTTGATTTGTTATTGGATAAATGTGCTATTAATACTTTCGGAAACAAAACATGCATTTCGTTTTCGTATTGTCTTTACCTAAAATTACGGTTCGGTAAAAATCGTTAAAGATGTTGTCTCTTTAATTCTAACAATTAAGCGATTTAAGCATTTCTTACTCCATAACCTAATGCAAATAGTTTACTGTCTTCTTCCGTAGGAAGAGTCAAGTCAAAGTGCATCCAAAAAATTAATTGGAACCTTCGAAAACTGGGTAGTGCTTCATAAAGTTACCCGTCTTGATACTTAATGGCATAAGTGGGTATTTCGTCTCGGGTGGTGTGATAAAATACGTTTGTACTGTGGTGTTGACCACCCATCCTTTAAAGTTCTTCATCCTCGCTTACAAAACCCCTAAATTTGAAATGTGTAAGTTGGGACATCGGCTCTCAAGCTCATATCGGACCTTCCACACCAAACAATTTGGTAAACCTTGCTTTCCACTAGCCGTTAATATGCTACGGGCCCTATTTATGCTTTCTTTGTCATTTCCGCCTACAAGAAATTCCGCGTAATAGTGTCAGTGAAAAGTCGACCCCAAAGCCTAGATGTGACCTTTTGCAATGCTTTGATGAAAGTTTTGCACTACCAAATCTTTATCATATTGCTTCCTCCCCTTCTGTCTGCAGTCTTCATTTATCTCGGTGTATATCATGTACCTCACCTGGTCAGCGCTGGTGAACATCCCCGAGGTGGAGTGCAATCCTACGCTGCGCACGATTAACACCACCACAGTTGTGAACGGCAAGCCCGTGGTGGTGGTCACCGCCGACCTCAACTTCGGCTGGCAGACCGCCATCTCTCTCTCCATCCTTGTCTTCTCCGTCATTTGGTCAAGCTTCCGCACCAGCTCGCATAGTACTGTCGGCAGGCTTACCATAGCGGTGAGTTTTTTCATCATTCATGCTAATTGAAATCTTTTTGGAGGCGATTATCAGTGAAAATTTATCAGCGATAATTGTGGCAGGCCGGGATTTTTATCTGAAGAGGCGCTTTTCGTGCTAACTCCGTATCGATGCGGAGGTGTCCAAGCGTAGTCTATGACTTGTTTGGCGTGTGGAAACCTGTTTAGATTGTGTGGGCGTGAATTTATGTTTAGTGCCTCCACAATGTTGTGTGCGACTTCGAGGTCTTTTGAAGTTGGTTTAGGCGGAAATGATTCGGAAATGGGTGATGGTTTGTTAGCTTCACTTTTTAAAGTAGCTAGTGGCAAAAGTGATTTTAAGATGGCTGCGCTGTCTCATTTAAGACGGAAAGTGTGCTTTTGTTTATGCAACGCTTGACAACTTTTCAATTGAGAAGTTTGCTTCCCTTGATCAACTTTTGTTAATTTCCCCGTTTCGCTTTGTATGCAAGTGGTTTTTAATTTATTTATTTATTACGTAGTGTAATGTTTCTAAGTGTTTAAATCGATGAAAATGGCTCTAAACTGACTGTATTAGCTGGATTCATGCCTGAAAATGTGCTTTTGGTAGTGGGATTTCTTACTGTACCATAGTAACTAAGGTTGAGTAGAGATGCTTTCCGTGCTCAGATGTTTTGTGCTGCCGTGTTTGGTGGCTCCATTATTTTTGCAAAAGTGTTTGTGGCTATGATCATCCATTTAGGCCTAAAATTAAGCTATTATCGGTGTTGTTTCAACCATTTTGGAGTAATAAACATCTTTTTTGTGATTTTGGGGTGTGTGAACATCGCCCGAAAGCGAGTTTAGGGTGGCTCTGTCGGTGCTCCACTCTTGTGCGGAAATTTGTATTCTGTGTTAGTTTGGCTACTTTCAAAATTTTGCTTATCAAGAATGTGAGTTTTATTGAGTTAGTGTCTGAAATAGACGACTCAAAATTGTACTTACATGTGACGACTCACTTGTTTGTTACAATTGGCGATAAAAGTTTATGAGCGACTGTGGGAATTTGTCCAGACCCAGGGAATTGTTTCCTTTTTTTGCAATTCCAGCTAAGAGCGGTTAGCACCGAGCCCTGAATTCCCAGCCTAAAAGGTTGTCTATCAGCTCTGAGTTAATACTTTGTTCACCTCGCGTAGTACGTTGTTATTTGCTCTCCGACGAAGGTACTTTCTTGATAGCCTTGACAGTCCTCCGGGGTCCAGACATTTTTAAACGGATTCATTGTACATGTGCCTTTGGTGCAAACTAATTGCCTTCATTGTGGAATTTCGGCAGTCTCAGTGAGAATCGCGTGTTGTGGAGTTAGGCTTCTTGTGTACGTGTACCTCTAGAATTTAATGGCATAATTGAGTCACGTCCTAAAGTTAGTTTCCTTAAAAATAAAGTTATAATTGTTAGGAGCGGTTTAGGCGATCATCAGCGGTGGTGTTAAACTCCTAATCGTTTCTCCAAAAGTCGATTCTCCCGTAATCGCCTTTAAGATCAAGATCTGTATTATTTTACATTTTTAACTTGTTCAAAAAAGTGGGCCTGGCTGGCAGTTGTCTCGAATTCTCTTCTTCTTTGTGCGGAACGCCTCTATTCTATTGGGCAATAGGTGTGTGCATTTACGCGCAAAATCATTTTCAGTCACTGGCGTCAGAAGATACTCGAAAGATATGCAGTCACCTGTCGACGTTTGATGTTCCTTTTTGGACCATGACTGTGAGAAGAACATCACGAATTCAACTAATGTGTTTTCCATGTGTTACTTAAAAAAGAGGGTGTAATCCTGACTACAGTCCCGTGGGAAAGTTAACCTTTCTTTATTCCGTATTTGAGCTTTTGATGGAGAAGTCATATTCTCGAATGCACACTCCGGTCCAATTTGTGGCTACAAGGCACCGTAGACAGTTGGATTACCTGTATTCCATTTGTTTTTTGTGTTTGGGGCCTACACGACTGTTGCCAACCCAGTGACACTACATAATTGAAAGTGTTTGTATTCCTTCACAGCAATGCATGCATGGTTCAGTGTTAATGCCTGCTCTCTCATGCTTTATGCACATTTGTCTCCTCACGTTTCAAGCTTGTGACCACTTGAACATTACCGCCTACCTGTGCCTGTAAACACTGCTAGTGCCATTTTTTTCAGTGCAACATCAAATGTAGTGGAGGCTTTGATTATGCAGGTAGCGTTAGTGAGCGACCTAGGGTCAATGTTTATTATATCGTAAGTGTCTTGATATAAATGTGAGGATAGTGTGCCTTATGCTCCTGATAATATTTAGCGCATTCACTGGATTCGCGTGAATGATTGTATTTGGAATGAGTGGTAGTGGGGTTGTGTTCCTTGGATTCCTTATACCGCACCCGTTAGAGGAATGCCATTCTAGAAGTAATGCTAAAGACTAGATGTTATTCCTCAGCAAATGGATTTCATGTACTCAACCCAAGTGAAATCCTCCCTATTCACTTATTTGCTGATTTAATGGCAGTGTGTCGAGTTTTTAGGCGGTCTGTTTGCTCTAGGGATTTAAAATATTTTTTTAGTTTTGATGATGTCATTTTAATTGGATCTTCTTAGATTCAGTCTTCTCTGCACCTTTGCATGGTAGTCAACCTCTTTTGACAACGTGAATTCGAAGTTCTACCTGTAGCGTTTCGATCTTTTGTCCTAGCCCCTTTCTTCCCAGGTTAGTAGTTGGTGTCAACCCTGCGATGCCACTTTTTACCTTATTTTTTTGTACTCTTTCAGCCTACCCTTATTTCGGTAAGTTAATGAATCGAATCTAGCCGCCTTTGTTCAGCAGCACCAACACTTTAACGCATTCGAACTGCTTCCTTTCGTCTTTTATCACAAAGAGAGCTTAAAGTTGCGCGTCGAGGGGTTGTGGTGGTGGATTTGTCGGTTGTGGTGTTTGCGTAAACTTCTTTGTAGGTTTGTCCTTATTGTCGAGGTGGATTTGGGCTCTCGATGCTCCCTATAATGTAACTCAACTAACAATTTCCACATTCATTTTTACTCCTAAAAAGGAACTTTTCGACTAGATTGAAAGAATAACTGCCTGGTCAGGGAGAGATAATCTCGTGGCACACTAACATGTTTATTTTCTGCCTCAACAGTGAAGCAAGCCCTTCTTATTTTGCATCATTGAGGCTTCGATGCCTCTCAGGGTATTCTTGTGTACAAAAGGGAATCAGTACCGCCGCTGCTTTACCTCTTTTTTATATCATACGCTCAGCTTTTGATTCTGAATGAGATTATTCATCGCCTCTGCTGTTATTTGTGACTCGGTAATTTTAAACTAATTTGCTGCCTTACTTTTGTGCATGAATGCTCGTCAAAGTTTCATTTCTTTGCTCTCATTTACTTTTCCGCAATGTGCTTCAGGTTGATTTTGTGTTTGTAGAGCTAAGTGTTGTTGAAGCAGGTGATGATTTTTTGATGTGTGAGAAATTACCATTCCAGGGTGTAATGCACTTCTTGGTCGTGTGAATTGTATAAGAACTATTTCATTCTATTGATAAGCCGTTAAGTAGTTAGGTATGTGATTTTGATTGTCACCAACTCTCGAATGTAGAGCTGAGTTTAAATCGAGCATTCTATAATTAATAATCTATTATCCAAGTAAAAAACATAAGTCTGGGACTGAAAAGTGCTCATACCTTGACCGATTTGTTCTTTGTTTCGAGCCATTACATTCGTAAACGTACACAGTGAGTTGGCAAGGCTTCGCAATTCAGGGCTTACTGATCGTCTGACGTCTCTGAAGTGAGCGCAGAATAGAGCAGGATACTTCTAAACGCTTGACTTTGACAGTTCAACTGATCAAGCCACTTGGAAAACGAGTAGTATAGCTAGAATGCGGTTTCTTCGAATAAAATTACTGGGTTAATAATCGTGAGAAAGAACCGGTTGAATGAAGGAGTTGTCGACTATCATAAAAACGCATTAAATTTATTTTTTCATGCTTCACATAAACCACCGCAAACAACCTGCGTAGTAAGTAGTCTGTTCATGAATAGGTCTTGCGAATATCCGCTTGGTATGTCTAGAATGTACCAAGAATACCATGGGGTTGTAATGCCCAGCTACTTCTAAATGAGGTAGCATATCCCGGAGGACGTTCTGTACTTTAGGATCAGCACAAGTTTATCCAGTGTGGTTGCTGAGAGTCCTTCTATTGGTTACTCAATGGAACTGTTCAATACTCATAAATCAAGCAGTATTTTCGTAATAAGGCTTCTTGACTCCGAGATCGATCTAGTACATCAAACAGTTAGATAAACAGCAAGTTCAGGGCTTATTTTGATTGGTCTCAGCAAAAGTTTAACCTGCTTACCTGCATTTAATTTCTAAACTAATCACAACTTAGGCGGCATATCCTGGATAAAACGGCGATTTAAGGCCTGATAATCACCCATCCTGCCTAGAAAGGTAAGTTGACACAGGGTGTTGACCTCTAGGATACGCCAAACGCAGTGGACACGGAAACTGGGACAGGTCGCGGCGACCAAACGGTGTGGGACAACGAGAGCGATGGAGTGGCCTACAGCTACGCCATGTTTCACTTCATGATGCTGTTAGCCACGCTTTTCGTTATGATGTCCATCACTAACTGGTACCAGCCGGACAAACACACTGCTCTACTTTCGGCCAATAACGCGAGCTTCTGGGTCAAGGCAGTGAGCAGCTGGGCTTGTGTGGCCATTTATGTGTGGACTCTGGTCGCGCCTGCTGTCTTCCCTAATCGGGAATTTACTTAGCTTGGGCGCGTCGTTTCCCGTGTTCACTCTCTCCCTCTCTCTCCATCCATACATTGACTGGCAGAGATTGCGCCGCATTGAGTTGTTGTAACTGTTGCTCCTCATTTATTCACTTTCTTAACAAACTATCCATTCCCCTCCTTATTTGTCGATACTCTTGTGTTAGATGGCGTTAGTACGTACTCAAAGCATTGTTTTACTCACCAAAATAAGTAGTTTGGATTGGAAGAGGTATTGTGACTCGCAGGACCATCTCCGAGACCAGTAGGACACGTCACTTTGGAGTTGGGTTTCATACTGCCAAGGAATTAATGACCCAGGTGTCGTGAGTAGGACTTCGCGTCACTAGAGTGAAGGCTGATTCGGGGAAGACCGAAAGCCCACATAATCTGACCGACCAGAAGCAGATGCTTTCCTGCCGCGCGGCCCCCTCTCTCGACTACGTCAGTTTTGGCCGCCGTTAGTTCTCACCTGATTTCATTCCGATCCGATATGACCCAATTGTCCGAGAAAGATCTGTGGCGAAAAACCGCAAGTTGCAGTAGAACGACAGCCGATCGAGCGGTATAGGACTACACGGACTGTCCGATCTCCGCCGCAGCGCATCACTCAGGTTCACGGGGATATAACCTCCCTGTCCGTCGATGATGACATGACATGATTTGCTACGTCTTTGGGGATGGCCTGGGCCGATTGGAATCACTAGCCACGACTACTATGGGGCCCGAATTGTTTGCCATTCAAATACCACAACGCCAAATAGGAGGAGCCATCCACTGGAATCATGGGGCCCCTTAGACGGCTGACAGAAAGCAAGTGCTTCCGAAAGGCGGTCTCGAATAAATGAACCCTGGATACACGTTCCCGCAGTCTCCCCAACTCGCCTCAAAAAGCATTCAACGTTAGCAGAGGAAAAAGTCCACCACAGTTACCAAACCACCTCAACTATCAAGTCATCCAGACATGAAACCCCAGCAGCGTCCACCACGTTGTCAAACACGTCTTTTGCTATTTCATCGCCTTTCAAAACAACTTGGATCCAGTATCCCAATACACGACACAGGATGGAAGAAAAAGCATAGACACATCCGGCTCAACAATGCATTTGTTTGTATTTGCTTGCGTGTCTGTATGTTTGCGTTTGTTGGTTTCCTAGCTTATGAACAAATGACTGACGCCAGCACAGACACTCGCAACCTCCGCAGAGAGGAGAAGCGAGAAGAGAAGGAATGCCACTGGATGAAAAAATGGCAGTGTCTGTGACACGACTCGACGTGTCGCGTTGTGGTGTGAGACGCGACAATAGGGGAGGGAAGGGGGAGGTAAAAGGAAGATTGCATTTGCATGTAGAGCAAAAGTCTTCTCCTCACAAAGGTAGTGGAGATCGTAGGGAGGTGGAGATAAACGCGTAGAAATGACTCGATGCGACGGCGGTACGAGAAAGTGTCGAGAGAAGGAAACACATTGGTACAACAGGGACAATAAGGAGGGCAGGAGGGTGGGTGTCCGGGTGTGGGACTACCTACATCCGCCGACCCTTCTGCAGCTTACTGCTAATCTCCTCCTCTTGTCGCATCTCGCGTCGCCATGTCGACACCTTGTCTGTTGTGGGAAGGAAAGTGACAACAACACAATAAGACAGCTTTAATTGCGTGGATGACCATTTACAGAGGGAAAAAAACTCACCCTTGAGGGCCAGCAGAGCATTTGTTTGTGTTAGCAGTAGCTGCTCCAGACGGGATGCGTAGGCTGGAAGGATAAAAGGCAGACCTTGACGTTCCCACAAATTTCTTTCATATTTAGAGATGCGATCTCCATTTCAATCACGTATCATGCATGAATGACAGAACTGTTGCAGGAGGAGTTTTTCTGGCTATGAATATCGGTTTCATATAATCAGTAAAAATACATGAGTTTACATGCTCATGTGACTACTCTCCCCTAATAACGCAACAACGAAGACCGAAATTTATGGCTTAGCAAACAAACGGTAAGTGTAAACAAAAGTACGACATGAAGCGAAAAAAAGAAGCTAAAGTTCAAAAGGCCAAGAGACAGATTTTCGAGATCAACCTGAAAATCAGCAATTAAACATTGAAGCCGAAATTTGTCCCACTTTTTAAATCATGCGTTCCGATTAGGTGTTTCTGAGCTGTTGCACAGTCGTGTTATTGCGACAATTCTGCCTCACTTTCAAACTTGGAGGCGGGCAAAGCCATTCGAAATTTAAAGCAAGGACACAATGGCAACCAAAGCAAAATCAACACCTTGATTGTCATTTCAAGCATGCCTTTCGGTTATACTAGAAGCAGGTATTGCGCATATTCCACAGGCAAAACAGTAGTGCCAGGACCAAAGTGATCAATTCTATCACTGATACTTGAATTCATGGCTCAGCCCAACATTTCAATCACACTTTTCAGCCGAGTGCTGGATCCATAATGGCAGAAGTTATCCCGGCGGTGAATAAATGAAATATTTTCAATTTCTACTCCACTTTTAAGCCTACGTTCTTAGATGATAAAGGAGCTTGGGCCAACATCCTCAGCGTTCCAGTCATGGAGTTCGATTGAGTACCAGGCACCATTAAGATCGTAAACCGTTGAGGCGTCACCATGATTCCAACTACCCTTAAAACTCAGGCTTCAAGTAAGCTCTTCCAGAATGCTAAAATTATCAAACCCACTAATAATCAAAGCTGAGACTTGTAGCTTAAGAGTCATTCCTACCAATCCTTCCGAGACGACTTCAATGAAAGTAATCTCGATTGGATTTATTTGAGGTTGCGTTTAAATTCTGCCACGTTTTCAACTTCAGCTTTCATTAAAATGCCTTTTAGAGTGTAGAGACCTAAGCAGATCGCGGTTTTAAAACAAGTGATAAGCTCTGCCTTCACCATGAGGTCAACCAGGATTTTTAAATGAACAAACCTACCGAAATCAAATGAATTTCACTAGCCTATTACAGCATTTCTCTCGGGCATTATTTTTTAGAGCGATTGTAAAAATATCAGCTTTTGCAAATTCTTGTGTTAAGATCGCATAGAAAGCAGAGATTGCGAGTGCTTGCTCACCTTCAACATCGTAGGGAACTTTCATCGTCTCCTTTTGCAGTCGATGATGCTCATTAGACCATTTGCTTAAATTCTGAAAGAAAAAGTATATTTGGAATGAAAAAAAAAGTTGATGCAGCACCAACAGCAAAAGTCAGCAACACAGCTGTCGCCGCCCACGCAATGACAGGTGATCAATGCGTAATTGTACCTAGGTGTGATTGTTGAGTCAAAAGTGCTTCCAACAACCACAAACAATCCAGTGCTGCCGAATCAGCTGCATCAGATTTAATCAACTCGTCATGGCACAAACCCAAAGTTGATGCTCCATGTCAGAACTGACATTTCACACTGACTAGTCTAATTTTCCATGGCTGTGAAGGCACTTCATCTATCAAATAGTCAGTTTTGAAAGGAAAATAAAAACTTCCCTTCAATCCTTCCCAGCTAGTACAGCGTAGTCAACAATTCAACATAAAATTTTGACATTTTAGGTGAGGTTGATTCTGATCTTGCGGGACTTGGACTAGGGTCAAGATGAATGATAGTGAGTTGTAATGGGGACGGTAGGTACAACCGTCTCAAACTCCGTCCAACTTAGCAGAACCAAAAGATGGATTTCTCGTGTCCATCGATCCGTCAACAATGCTTAATTGCAGATTAGCTTCGACAACAGTTGGGTAGAGTTTTAAAAGTGATTCATGGTCAAACATTCATCGAATTTTTCAGGGTAAACCAGTCGCATGAAAGGCAATGAGGTGCGGAATGTGGACGGCTATGACTAGAAAATCACATTAAATCACGGACAGGCCAAAGTCTTTTGCAACAGTTTCAAATAGGAATCCTGTTCTACGAACTAAAGTAACTAAAGTCATTTAACTAAGGTCCCAATTCAACTAATCACTTAAATTTAAGTGCTAACGAACTGTGAAATGAGGTTACCTAGGTTGGTTAGAGGGAAAATAGGCTTACATTGCACAGAGCAACGTGGTCATCACAGACCTCTTCCTCTAGTTGTTCAATGTGGCGAACCACTTCGTGGAAGTTGAACAGTTCCTCGGAAACTTCGCCATCCTGAAAGAGTACACACAAACAGAAACCGGGCTACAAAATCAACTGACTGATCCGAGGTATAACGAACAAACAACTGTGAAACGCTGGGATACAAAAAACGCGTGAAGGGGGTCGTAGCTTACCGCCTGGAATGCAAATGAAAGAGTGAAGTGGGACTTAGTTTTGTGTCTTCTGACAAACGATGGAAATGAACTTATAATTGCGCGTGTTGAAAAGTTTGCGCGTTTAGCGGGTTGGCTTGCATTAGGCGAAATAAGAGAAGGGAAGAGACTTCGCTTTCAAGCGCATCTGTCACTTTGCTTAACTCTTAGACGACAAGGTTCAACGTGAATTTGTTCAACTAGATATGGCAAATCTTCGCTTGAATGTAGCAAATTTTATTAGAGATGCTAGAAACTAGACCGCTCACTTTCTAGCATCTCTAATAAAATTTGCTATCTAGTAGGAAGTGAGCGAGACAGGTTTAAAGCGTGGATTCAAGCCAAATTTGTGGCCAACTACTTCAAAAGTAACTGAATCCGGTCTGATATTCACGCTTTTACACCAGGGGAAGAAGGCCCGGGGTAGAAGCAAAGGAGTATAATTAGTGGATTTTCAAATAGCCAAAACAGAAGTAAATCACAAACCAGGATGCATGTACGCATTTTTTTTCCCGAAAAAAAAACTACGTTTCGCTCCACACCCGATTCATGTTAAGAATTTCACCACTAAAATTGTACTCCGCAAAAGCCATTCGCAAATGTGTACACAAGAGCCACCTAAACGAATATTTCACATCCAGGTTAAGCTAAATAGCATTGACTGTATCCGCTCAAGTGGTAGAAAAAGCGCCCAGAAATGAGCTAACAACGAGAAGACGCACATTGGCCGATCTGAGCATGGCGAGATCATCATCATCATCCGCATTGTCGCCATCTTCCATGGCACCGCTGCCACCACCACCGGCACTGAAACGATCGTCAGAAGCCCGGAGGGAGCCACCGTTATAGGAAGAGTAGAGTAGACTACCGGAGTCTAGCCCACCGCGCCCACCTACGCGGTTGGCCAGGAGACCGCGAGATGAGGGCATGCCCGCATAACTTCCGTCACCCATCGGCATGCCACCAGCAGTGCCACCTACAAGGAAGGCAAGGTAATATTAGCCGTCTCGTCATGCATACGCATGCACACATTAGGATAACTGTTTGGTTTACGATTAGTCGACATTGATAAGGCGCATGTCAGAGACGGGTGAAAGTGATTGGTTGAGGGGGGCTAGTCAGGCAAGCCGAAAGCAAGACCGTGGGCCAAATTTATGACCAACTAAATCATACGGCACTAGAATGGCTCTTTTTTCCCTACATTTAATTACACGGATCGTAGAAGTGTCCAACGATTTGGGTGATAGTCGGACATCATGAAATTCTCCTCGTCACTGGCCTCACACCTCTTTTGTACCTTTATAATAAGGACACCCCCTAAATCAAACGTGTCGTGCTACCATCAATGCACCATTGGCAAGCTCAATCCAAAAGGACAGCCCCACTTTCACTGGCTTAGCGCCGGCCTTAAAAGTCGTAGAAGAGCATCTACTAAGGATGAATGAGTCCTGGGACTTCGAGCTCTAAATTGTGACTAGTAATGGAGGAGCTGAAATTGTCCTTGAATAAATGTTCATGATATTGCCATCAGCGCTAAGTTATAGCCGGAAACTGGGGACATGATACACCTTATATTACGTTAGGGCAAGTTTTCCTACAGGAGACGATTGGCATACGGAATGTGCTTGATGAAGAACATCGTCCAGTCTCCAGCACTACTTCCCAACTACCTCGATGTAGTTGGCCTAACATATGGAATATCACGGCATGCATGATCTGGAACGTAGCTGAAGCCGTTCTCAAGATGACACCAGTTTGCAAGTGTCAAGAAAAATAATAGACGTCTCCTCTTTGCAAAATGCACCTATCAATGGAACTCAACCGGACTGTCATTCTAAATTTCAAGTCAACCTGTTTTGATACACCAAATCTTCCTCGACGGTACCGTAGGTGAAATCAAGAATCCGGGACCCAATCTTTCCACCTGAATGCAAGCCAGTCCAAGGTACTACGCCACTGAAACTGGGTGCAAGAGCTATTCATGAGGGTGTGCAATTAGGACGAAAAGAAGCTCAATTTCATTGTTCGACTTACGGCGCGAAGAGAAGGTGGTTAGTAGGGATGAACTACGTTTCACTCCTGGATGAATATTTTTCAAGGGGAAAAGAAGGAATTGAAAACATGTCTCACCTCTTCATGTTCATAGGAACAAAGGATTTGTTAGACTAAAGGAAAACTGAATGGGGATTATGTCATTAGTGAGCCGTGATGATGGTGGTAAAGGCAAACCCACGTGGAATGGAGGCAAGCGATGCAGTGTTGCGACTTAAACCTATTTAAAAACAAGAATGATAATGCAATTTAAACTGAGATTGCCACTGTAGAGCCATAAATAACAGACTTGCGTAGACATGAGATACCACCACTACCGCTGGTACGACAGCAATCGAATAAGCTTGTGATTCATCACTTGCATGTTATTGCTATGATAAGGGAAGGCGCGGCGGCAATGCAATTTCCCCTGTTTACAGACAAGGTAGCCGTACATGCAAAACCCTGAATCCGCGCCCAGACGCTGCCACTGCAGCTCTTCATTTGCATATTTAATTTTAGGATGTAAAGTAATGCTAACGGAAGTATTTTGAAGCTGTGGAGATGTATCCATAGGGTACACAAGAATTTGATTATAAATACCTAAAAATATATCCATCCAGCTTACCGTTAGTATTCGCCGGACCCAGTTCCTTTACACTGAAAAGAACAAAATTAAAATAGTCGCATGGAGTTCTAGATTTAAAGTGGGAAAAAAATAAGGCAAAGAAAGCAACCATTTGTCAAAAGCTTTGTACATTACCAATCCTGTGACTTTTGGTTTCAAAATAGAAAGAGCGATACAGTGAATCGTGGTAAGCTGCTCTACGCTACTTGAATGTCAAAAAGGACTCGAAGTTAATGAGTAAATTTTAACAGCTTTTGCTGACAAGTATCAACGGGCTTTCCCAATTTTCTCCTCTGTTCCTCTGTTGTGTCGTAATTTTGTCTATCTCCCGTCGTATGATTCTTGTGCAAAGTTATTTGAAACCAATAAAAGGAAGCTCATGCTCGGAAAAGGGTCTTATAAGAAACCGCATCGATGGTGTATTGGATCGTAGAACATAATTTCAGAGAGTCCATTTGGTTGAAAACAATCGTAATCAATCTGATCTAGTATGGATGTAAAGATAAATACATCATTCAAATGTTCAGGGTCCGAATCTTCTTTCGAGACGAAAAAAAAATACACTAAATCGCCCAATCCACAGCTTTGGACACAGAAAACGCAAATTAGCTGTAATTTTAGAGTCACTCATAGGGGAGGTAAGACCTACCGATCAGCATAGCGGAGGGTGTTGAGAGTGTGTTCGCAGGAGGCGATGCCGGGTGAGATCATGGCTATCATGCAGGTGCGCGAGCGGTCTCCGATGAAGGAGTCGCGTAGCACCTGGGTCAACTTGCTCGCCCGGAAGGGTGTATGCGCGCCCTTCCGACCCAGCGCCCGAATACACTCCTACAAAGTCATGAATAATACTATGCCATAGTAGAGAAAGATGAAAAATAAAAGTATTAATTAATAGGTGGATTGAATGCAAATAGAGGGAGAATGTGTGTTGGAAATGAATGGGTAAAGGAAAAGTTGAAAAATTGGATAAACGAAGGGATGAATGCTTAGACAGATGAACAGCTAAGTAAATAAAGAGGACGAAAAGACGGAAGAACTCGTTAAATCTAGAAACACGGAATGGATAGATTTGAGATGAATTAATGAATGAAGAAGCTAAAAGTTGAATTGAGGAATTGATAGATTAAAAAATTCAAAATCAAATGGAGTGTTTTTATCAATAGAAAGTATCGGTAAAAAGTATGAAGTGATCAAACAGAAAACGACGAATAAAATACTGCGCAGACTGATGTTAAAATAAGCAAATAGGAAGTTGCTTAAAGGGATAAGTAGACGAATAGACGGATGAGTGACGATGGATACCAGGATGCATAGACAAAACTCAAAGTAGACATACGATTAATTAAACCAGTTTTTTGACAAGAATGCGGGATTATGCACAAGTAGTAAAGGTAAACCTAGTGGCAAAGACATAAAGCAAATACCTTAAGAGCGAGAAGGCTCTTGTTAATTTCAGCGCCCTCCATCCGTGTGATCCTATCAGAGGAGCTGGTGTCAGCGCCCCTCTCATTGCCCGCCAAATCGATGAGGGAGAACTTGCCGAAGAGCTTATTCGTGCCCCGTCGTTTGAGGATCAACTGAAATTCAAAATCCACAAAATTTGCAACACATGCTATATCGATTTGATAAGCAAGGGTTGAAAACACTAAAACAGATGTAGAGTATTCGTGGACTGCGAATAATGGCTTATATTCACCTTTTAAGTAAGTCAATTGATCAATTTAGTAGGAGTCCTTGCTTTATACTCGAACAGCAAAACATTTGGACCGCGGTGACTGATCTTCCACTGAATTGGATTCTAGCAGCGAACCCATTGCCCTTACTGGATAAGTTGGTATTTTCTTTATTTCCAATATCTTACATCACCCACATGGACGCTAGCACACAAATCCCACAGCTAATGTTAAAGGACATGGAAGTTTGAATCCATAAACGCTTCAATTTGGTGAGAGAACCTTGCGGTAAATGTTGGAAGTGATAGTGCTAAGAACAGACTGAAACTAGCACAACAACACTCGTGGTAAGGTCTGATCATCAAACACCTTCGAGCGCGAAAAAGTCTTGTACATTGAAGAATGTAAACAAATGGTGCCACAGGAGTGCCGACGCAATTAATGGTTGTAATATGATTATGATGCAAGTCAGGGGCTACCTCATGCAACATTACATAAGACCAACGGAAAAAAACATATCACGTGTGAAACAAGCATGTACTAGAAAACAGTGAAACACCTATTACTCCAACCTTGCAGGTAAGCAGCTAAAGCAAATCATTGTAATACGGTTTTGTAATTAAGAAAGGGGTTCCCAATTTGTTGAAGTAACAAATTTGGTAGTCAATAATGGTCTCAACCATAATTACTACTTTTGTTTTTGTATTTATTGTGGAAGTAGCCAGTGATTATTCTCTTCCCAACTGATCCCTCAGAGAATTTCATTACTTTTAACCAAAAATTCTGGTGCAAAGACAATAACAATAGGTTGGTTCTTTTAATGAACGCAGTTGAGAGCTTGACTGAAAAAGTTCCGTTTTGACAGACCAGTTCAGGTTTAACAATAAGCTGGCCACCTAGGCCGTCGGATCAGAGACCGGGGTGGTGGACGTTGTCCTGGAAGCAACGAGGTGGAAGTGGTGCAAAAGTTTTTCCCGAACGACGTATGAATTAGCTGGAAGAATTAGCAACAAATACTAGTCCAACAAAGCTAAACTATTTGGATTGATTTCGCCAGTTTAACTAGACGAGATCCTGTCAGAAGAAAAGCCGATCGTCAAGAAGTCTGGTCATGGATATTTGAAAAAAACTACGCTTGCTTGACAGATATTTAATGCAGCTAACTAGGTGGAGTGGTGAGGAAGCTACCTTTTAATTGAGCAGCCAAAGATGGTAAATAGGCAGAAATGGGTCAATAAAACACTCGAAAATACCAAAAAATGTTAATTACACTAGAGAAATTTGCTGTCACATCACCTACCGAGTATTATTGACACATGAACAAAGTCCATTTCAGTCCGAAACAGAATGCTTCATAACTAATTAGTCCAAACACCAACCTGGAACACAGCGTGCGACCGACTGGAATGCTGGTTAGCCGAGGTCTGGCCGCTAGTCCTTATATCGGCTCCGTGTTTGAGGAGACGAAGGACATCTTCCACCGAGTGGACAGGCTCATGTCGCAGGCCCACCACCTGGACCTGGTTCTTTGCGTCCTCCAACACGCGCAGCTTAGCCTTCTTGTTCAGGAGATCATAGACCTTCCCACTGTATATTTCAAAGAAGGCCGCATCCACACATAGATCCTCGTGGCAGTACTTTGTTGCATTCAGGTGGAAAACATCTCGAGCTGGGTGGTGAATCAGGGTAGAAACAAAAAATGTAAACAGTTACTTAAGTTACTCAAAATCTCCAATTCCGTTTAGATTGCAGCAAAGACGATACTCTCATCCATTATTCGATAGAATTTTACCACTGCGTCAGTCGAATGCTATATTTATTGGTTTGGTGTACGAGAAGTTGGATCGTATTCAACGGATCAGAAAACAAAATAATTGGCCAATCAAGTTGCCAAAAGGCTCAGAATCCGCTTCGATTTTACCTCAGCCAAATTTCTGTAAAAGCGATGATACTAATCACGAGTGGAAGGAGGATTCGTTGAATAGGTGGACGTCGAGTTAAGTCAGGAGAAAACAAAGCATCATTCAGTCGACATTTCTGTCCAATTACGCAGCAGAGAGGGGAGAATAATTGTGCACAAACAACAAATACTGATGCACGCCCGCTCCACCCAGGAAAGACTAAATAAGACTTGGATAGGCTATCAATTTAATAAATTTTGCCGCTTTTAGTCTCCCCACGGCATAAAAGCCTCCTCTGAGTAAATAAAAGCAGAAATAGTGAGATCACTAAACTTTTTTAGTACCCAAAACTAATCAGGGACCATGCTCACATCAAAATGGGCACTTCAACGCGGTAGGAATATAAAAAAGGTAACCAAAGGTCCTTCAATAAGTAATAATCATAAATCGCATACACTGTAGACAAGAGGCAGCAGCGACGGCAGCAACCAGAAGACAATAGGGCAGGCGATAGGGCGTGTATAATTACAATGCTAACCACGATACTCACAATACAAAGCTGCCTATGACTCAACCAGGGGGTGGGGGGGGTGGAGGTGGAGGCGGAGGCTACGGGCTTTATCGCCCTAACGATCACCTATGCTGGCAACAAATCAGAAGGACCAAAGGGACTGCCAATTAGGGAACAGTAAAAGTTAGGCGTCAGCACGCCATGTGAGATAGGAAGTGCGCGCCTTAAATAGCCTTATCCAAGTATTGTAGTCACGCCTCGAAAGAAAGTGGTCCCTTTATTGTAGTAAATCTCCCGAATTTAAACCATTTTTATTTCAAAACAATTATTGTGGTGGAATACGAAATTTCAACTGTCGCCAATAGGCGTTACTGACGTTGATTTTGTCCCATCATAACCTACCCACTGATTTGATGTGTATGCTTCCCCACAAACACCTTGACAAAGCGATTCCCACTCCGCCTTCACTGTTGTCTCGGCTCCATAACGGAGCGCCCATTATGAAGATGTCAAAATGGGTGTTTTAACTCATCCATAGATTGATGACAAAAGCATTTCAAAGATGTTAAACTCCATTTCGATTTCCCAAAGTCGTGTGATCAGTGGGACTCATCAACGCAGTAGCTAATCAACACCCGAAACGTCGACAAGAGAGGTGTTTTGAGAGTCGAAGGCATAGCGAACGAACGTATAGCTTGTTGGTGGTTGCGTACCGACGGGCGATTCCAATCTCAATTAAAAGCGGGCTTCGTAGAATACATGAGTAGAATTAATTGCGAAATTTGATACGATGACCACGTCAAAGGCATGAAACTGGCAAAACTTATATAGGCACTAGCCGAATAAGATGTGTTATAAGCCAAACGTTCATTAACCGAATGAACGCAAAACGGAATTCTGGAACTTTAAAGAGTGAGGCATAAAATACTTTGAAATAGGTATGCTTCAAGGCGCATTTCAAACAAAAAAATTTCTACCGGCAAGCGCATAGATGCCATTGGAGCAGTCTTGCAAGCCCCTCCCATGGAATTCCCCACCCATCGTGTGCGTTTTGCCCGATCCTGTCTGCCCGTAAGCGAAACACGTTGCCATTCCACGCTCAAATATGCTCTGCACCAGTGGCTGCGCTGTGTATCTGTAGACCTAGCCAGACAGGTAAAAAGACACTTATACAGCTACTAGTAAGGGAGACGAGGTAAGGTGTAACGGTTCGCCTACCAGTGCGTTGTCAGCATTCTCGTCAAATGCATAGTCAAATCGGAAGGATTGGTTCTCCAAGTACTTGGTCAGGTCAACTTTGGTTTTGGGTTCATGTACAAGAATCTGCTGCTTGTTCGGTATGGTAATGACATCAATCTCCTTGCGGCCAAGCTCTAAAAAGGAAACAGAGAAGCAAGTAGTCACATATGCAATACACACAAACAGAAACATTAAGGTGTGAGCAGTAAAAGAAGTAAACCAACCCTTCTTGTTCATGGGACGCTTGCGAACACACACGCAAATCTGGTGGCATTCAATCTCATCGGTTATGGTGAGCGGTCGGTAGTCCAGGGTCTCCTGATACTCCCTGATCATCATAAGAAACTCGTAGCTCGGACTGTTTGGATCGACGTCAGGCTGCTCTCGGGCGGCCCGCTGAGCAGCCCTACGCTCCTCCCGACGCTGCTGAATTCGTTCGATCTCCTTCACCACGTTTGACTTGCGAGAGCTAATGCCACTAGTCGCCAATGGAGTGTTCGATGGCCCCGACTGGCTGCTTGCCAAGGCACCTCGCGCTAAACGGGCAGTGAGAGGGAATATTACCCTTGTTACTCAAAGCGTCCGCAAGCAAAAATTAATCGAAAATATGTAGCAAAATCCGCAATGGACATCAAACGTTTCGTGAAAAATTGTGAGATTGCACTTGAATCAGTCGAATACATCAAAACCGTGAACGAACGAACCTCAATGGTCTAAAATCATTCGAATGCTCCAAGAAGACGGAGGTAAGCCAGATAGATGGCAAGATAGACTTTAGGTAATGAATGAGTTGGAGAGAAATTTGCTGCAGGAATAAAGTCCTTTTCAAGCTTTTTATATTAAATTATCTTTTCCACTGCGATGTGATTCACAATGCGGTCATTGTAAACCATCGTTCAGGCCTTAGCATAATGTTTTATGCATTTTCGCAACACAGTAGGCATAAAATACAAGGAGACCTATCGAAATTTGTCCGTTGTATCATAAGACAGGCATTTTAGTGGAAGTACATTCAACTACTACGTAAGGAAGTGATGGATAAGGATGGTAGGAAAGGCTAACATCGTGGAAACTTTTAACAACTTTAAACTATGGTCAAGGGAGGCTTAGTTGAACGAGTCCAACCCGTGGAAAAGCTAAACAACTGATGGACTTCGAGAATTTAAAACTTTTGCATTTTTTGAATTAAAAAACAGCATTACAATTTGGAAGATTCTGCCAGAATTCACAGTAAACAAATGTTGCCAGCACAATCGGGATAAAAATTGTCGCATCATCCTGGTCCCTCTCGCATGTTTTTAAGACATCCTTCCGCGGCTATGACGCTCAAAACTTCCGCCTCTAGAGAAATCCTACCGATATTTACGGGAAGTAACGGTTTCACCGAAATCATCATTCCTTCCTCCATGTCATCGATGAAGAGTATGGAAATGCAACAGATGGGAGCACACCAACCTACCACCACTGCGTCGGGCCAAGTCTTGCTTGGTGTTAGGCATGGGCCCGAGCATATCCCTTGACTCCGGATAATTACGGATGTTGGTCTGATGGGGGTCCTCCCAATCCTGGCGATCATCCTGGCCTCCAGCACTGCCACAAGCCCCATCATCTCCGTCATAATCAACCTCTTCACGCAACGTCAGATCGTCACAGGCACGCTCGTCGAATTGATCAAAGTCGGTGAGTCGACTGGCCGTGGTACTGGTGACGATGTCGGCGTCTGTATCCATGGCCTCATTGACGCGCTGCGAGGACGAGGAGTGCTGTGAGAGGGCTACAAAGTAAGGGAACATCGAATTGCCTTGTGAGACATTTGGAAAGGTCTTAAATATATCGTTGCAGGTGTGCGTACAGATGTGTAAGAGAACAATGTAGAAGGCTGCGAGTCGCTTGGCAACACCGCGGCTTACTTGTTAATGGCAAGGTCAAGTATTTTTCCTTTATATAGTGAAAGAAATTCTTAGCATATACAACCGTGTATCTACCTGACAAATGAGTCTTTGCCATTCGACCGGTCTTGAGATCAGCTATTCGCCAAGGCGATTGTATAATCTAAGGCGAACAGTCTAAAAGCAGTATTCCATCGTGCAGGAATGTCACTTATTCGTTCAGTATGAAACATCTGATTTCCTAAGTTTTAGAATTGGTACTTAGAGAAGTCAATAGACAGTCGATCACTTTAAATCAGCTGTAGAGGAAGAGAGCTGATAAGTTCACCTCCGATTGCTTGTGAGTCAGCAGTCAGCGAGGTTTGACGTTGTTTCCATTCCACCAACATTATTGTACCGTTGAACGGCTGGGAGGAGTAGACTCCATTCCTCGAACGAAATAAGCAGAAAAAAAATCGCCACAATGACCTCCTTTCTTCGTTGTCACAATATGACAATAACTCTCTCCCCCCTTTTAACCTGATTTCATATTTAATGACTACTTGCACGTCACAAGGCCCTAATCTAAGCACGTTACTATGAGTAAATCGGCATCTTATGCAACGAGATTTACTCAAGGCAAAAAGAATATCACATAAACGTTTACATTATAGAGACTTAATGTAAAAATGACCCCAGCCAATTAGCTTTAATGATCCACTGATTACCATATTACTAAATGAACGCTTTTATGTTATTGTAAATTAGGGATTGAATATAACGGAAAAGGATTCGATACGGATGAAAATTATTTTAACATGTAACTCGAGTATTGGTGGAGTGGTATCCACATCGAAAACTTAGCTATATGTCATCAGATAAGATTATACGTTTTAACCTCTTTGTTGACTTAATTTCATAATAAATTTCACAGGGAAAAAAACATTGCTGTCAAGCACTTTACTAGTCATTTTACAATTAAATTAATGCAAGGATATACGATGTCACTTGCTTATTCATGTATATCAAAAAGGTGAAAAGTACGAAAGGTGACACCTTGGCAAACAATGTGGAATATCAAACTAAGAGCTCTGAGAAGACCTCGACTTTCATACCAGTTGAATATGGTAGTGAAGAAAGTAAGTATTTTAGATATACCTAAAGTGATGAGCCACATCCAAATGATATCAAAAAGTCGCACACCCAGAGCATTAAAAAATTCAGATTTGCATAATTCAAGTTCGATTGACACGCATTCTAGCACAGAGATGAATTGGCATCTGTAAATAGCGCAAGCACAAACGAAGCTTTACACTCGAAAATGACGCAATTAGCCGAAAATCGAGGCCATAGGATTGTGGATGTGAGGGATTAAAAGTATTTGCATACATGAAACCAGGTGGCTCAGCTTGCCAATTGCTAAGACAGTGTTGTTTCCCTTCGCACCTAGAGTGATTCACGACAGTTCCCGATTAAGTTAATTGAATGAACTCTTTCAGTCTGCTACCAGAGCAATTCGAATGCCTCATTAAAATGAACTTTTCAGGAATCGAACATGCAGCTTTAACGTCAAGGCAAATCACAGCGATTGAAATTCAAGCGAGATTAAGCAAAATAGTGCTTTTTTAAACTATGAAGTAGTACTGTGAATTATCTAATTCCTCTGCAATTGGAGGGGTACAGCAACGTATGGAGTCCGATTAGAGGAAGCTGTACACTCAAGGGTAAGTCCTTGGGACTCTAAAATACAAAATACTCTAATTTTCGACGGTTACATTAAAACCAAACTTGAGGTGGTGCATTCTTGAAAAAAAAATTCAATAACATTGTAGCGGTGATTTTACTTCCAATTACCCATTTGGTTACGTGGTCCTTTTCAGCTTCTCGCGATTCAGGCCAAGGTGTAATGGCACGAAGCCAATCAACGTCACCTAAGCTACTGGATTAGCCCTTCTAAACATCTTCAATGAGGCTACTTTCGGACACGTATACGTTACAGTGGTCCTCAGGAATAGCTCGAGCAACACATTGGTGGCAACGTTGGGGAACGCAAGCCAGAAAACAACAGTCCTTATTTCGATAACTGTATAAGACGTTAAAAATTCACAGAAGATAGACTTCTGCTGTAGGTAGCTGAAACCACGGATACTCAACCGAAAGGCTATCAAAATTAAATCAACCTTTGCAAATACTGCAACCTTTAATTATACACACTTGACAGTTAAGGAGATCAAATTCTAACAAAAATTTCTTATAACATCTAACAATAAAAAGCAAATATGAAGTCTGACCGGAGCATCCAATGCAAGAGAGTGATCCAGGTCGTTGAACAGCATTAGAACAACATTTACTTAGAAGAGGTAGGAAAGAAGGATGCAGATAGACTATTAGGTTAATTGTATTGGATGGTTTAACCTTTAGGCAAATATTCTTACACAAAACGACCGAAACACGAAACACACTCATTGTAGAGCAACATCCAACCATCAACAACACATGTCAAACACACCTCTAATGTTTCATTCACAATCAGGCCTATCTTTAAATTCTAAAGCCTTTCTGCAGCAATAGGAAATCATCGTAAGATCATTTTTTCGCATGGGTAGCTACAATACACTCAACTATCCTAATGGCCGGAGTAGAAAAGTGTAGTGTCGAGGATGTCACTCAAAAAAGATGTTTGTTTTCATTGCACATTCGACTACGCCAACCTTCCCCCCCTTCAATCCTCCGCGGATTCGACCTACATGCTGTTGGGCATAAGGTTCTGCACATGCCACCTGTACTACCAATCTCCCCTGTCTTCTGCAAATTGACAGTGCAAATGTTTCCGAGCTCTTTTACTCTATGATGCTTTCAGTAGTAGCCCAGACACACCTCACGAAATTAAACATTCCCTACATTACAATGCAAGAGGAAACTACAAGACTCACAGATATCAGTGGCAATGGAGTGCTGGGTAGTGTCAGAGTCGCCGTTTCGTGTCGGTTGGGGAGTTACATCCTCGGGAAGGTTCAAGAGGGTGCTGGAGGTGGCGTTGGCACGTGCCCTCGTTATGCGCGTCGACGGGGCGGGCAGGCGGGATGCACGGTACTGCCGAGCTCCCGCTCCACTCTGATTGGCTGATGTTGTTGCTGCGGCGGCGGTGGTGAGTCCGCTAGGGGTGGAGCTCTGCGTGACCTTACGCTGCGGAGGCGGCTGATTAGTCATGATGGTCTCATTGGCGGGTCGCTCCTTTAACGCCGTAGTGGTATCCACAGCCGGCTGAAATGTCAAGCAGCCACTTGCACACACACGTCCCGATTGCTCCAAAACAAAATTTATCTCTCCGAAACGATACGCCAAGATCCAAACATACTCCATTAACATCTGAACGGAGTGTTTATCCACTTCCCTTCTTCAGTATCGTGCAAAGTATAGGATTCCAATGAAGTCCCTCTACCAGGTTTTTTGGAGAAAAAATCATCTTAAAAGTGTAGCTGTTCTATAAAAAACTTTAAGTAAAGTTACTTAGTAGATGGCAGAATCGGCTTTCATCCAGACCACATTTAGCCCCTCCGTTCATTCAGTCCTCATGTTGCCTTACTATTTATCTTATTCCTCTCTCAGGAAAAGCGTAAGCTTTCAAGACTTTGGTTCATTATTAGTTATGCTGCAAATTTAAATCAAATAAGTGGGTGTCTAAAGGCGACGCAGGTTCCCGTTTTTTGTCTCACACGTCCCCTTTTCTTCACTGTGCAAAAAGTATTGAATATCTACAAACCTTTCATCCTCTTACCATCTCATTCTTCTATATTCGACCTTTTCTTTGTCTCTCAGTAAAAACTACACTTACAGAGGACTTTTGTTATACACAAAATTAATTTGAAGACTGCATCAATGACACTCAAGAAATGCGTCCAACATTTAATACTTTGAAGTGAACAGTCAAGTTCCTAGTTAGGTACAAAGGAGACTAAACTAGGACAGCTTTGTATGCAGAACCTAAGTTATTTCCTCAATGATAAATAAACACGTAATGCAGCAACCAAACGAACTGAACATTTTTCCCAGTAAAAAGCCACAAACATCAACTAATGAGTTCCTTAGATTCGTTGGCTATCCACCTAACAGGATTCTGGCGTAACAAGTAGAGGCAAGCCTCAATGCCATCACAGTGCAACGAAGTGCCAGAACTCCCATAAACACTTGCCAAATTAAGGTGGAATTTTAGCTGATCATCGATAGCGTGGGAAACCGTTTATGAACTAAAAAGATGTCAAACTGCCGGGTTGCATTTTAATTAACCGCCTTGCACAATTAATGCCGCTTAATTTACTGTATACTGTAATAGAAACTAGCACATCCCCAAATGTGGCATTACTAGGGTGCAAAAATGATAAATATGTGTAAAAGGATGAACTCACATCGTAGGATCGAAGTGAGGGATTCAGTCTAAATATGGCAGACATGTCGATCTAAAATGCAGTGAAGACTAAAATGGTAAATCAAGTGTGTGTAACTTAAGACAGTCAAGTAATAGCAGCCCAGTCCTGGAATGAACTGAAAACTAGCAAACAATTAGATAAAATGTGCTTCCTTTTGTTCCAAAGAGAAACGATTAAAGTACGGCCTCAATGGTATACTTTTCTTGGCGAAAATCAAGCAGACACGTTTGACGTCCCTTGATGACACAGAAGCACACTGATAGGGCGCAGCTTTTTATGGTCCCTTGACCTCATGTTCAAGAAATGCCTCCATGTGTCGCAATTATCGTCTGTTTAAACATGCGAAAAGTGGCATAAAAGTTCTCGACTTATTTGCGTAAGAGAGATTTGCCTCAAAAAAGGCAAAACAATCACATGATTGCATTTCCACGCACTTCTTAAACTAAACATTGTGTTTCGGTTTACGTTGGAAGTAGATCCGTAAAGACTCTGATAAAATGGATGGACACTCATTCGATCGTCAGTACGAAGCCTTTGATGTCGATACTGCCTTGCTATTGGCCTCATTGCACGCCAGTGTCATCATTCAGAGCATACGTTACGGTTCCTACCAGTTTTTCAAATATAACCGAAGTAGTGTAGCGCAGTATTTGACGGACATCGGCTTGTCAATGAAGCAGTGATGGTTCGAGAGACCTCGTTCTAATTGGCAACCAAACTCCTACAAATGAGCCAGCTACAACAGAGCACTAGGCGAGTAAAATCAAGTGAGCGGTAAATCCCGAAGTTTACGCGATTTAACAGCAAAGATAACGTAAACTCTGCTACCTAAATACTTGAAAAAGTTGAGATGAAGACAGGAAAAATTCAATTCTCGCAGTACAGAAACCTATTTATGGACTGCTTCCTCATAAAGAAATTTCAAACTACTTTACCTCTTTTCCCTTCGCCTCTCCGCGTTCATACCACTCAACGGTCACTGCTTTGCGCTCCTGATTCACCCCACTAATAATGGCAGAGTGAATTCGGCCTAAAACGAGAAGGAATATCTCAAGGTTTAACACTATTTAACAGAATTTTTAACCCCTTCCGTGTCTACTCAATACATCTAATTTCACGCTTATTATCGTAGATAAAAACTGACCATATGTGCGCAATAGCTTAAATCATGGACAGCATTCAATCCCTGAAAAAGTGCAGTTTGGCGAAGTAAATGGCCGTATTTGTGAAAAGATACCATTTTCAGGAATGATGATGTGCACGGATAAACACTGCTATTCTGTGATGCCGAGTGGACAAGAACTGAGGACCTCATATTGTTCCAGTGTGGAATGCACAAGATCCTACTCGTATAATAAATTAGGCCACGAGACGCCACATATTCCTGGTGCACATTCAAGGCACCAGGCAGCGAATATGGAACCGATAACCTATACTACTGTCATTGTTTAGTTAGCAAATAATCACATCCTAAGCAAGCCTCGACTTTGGGATGTCAAGTGCTAACTACCAAGCCTACAAACAGTAAATTGTGTATTTTATTTGCTTGACGCAAAATCCAACGCACAAAGTAACTCATTTAAAACCAAAGTGGACCTCCTAGAGCACAACTAAGGCAACAAATAAACGGGAATAAGACTTCCAAATGGACAATGTACAGGTGCACATCTACATAACTCCAAAAACATTCACTAGCATAACTCGATGAAATGACATCAAGTTCCGAGATTCGAACAATTAAAGGAAAAATAACGCCAAAGATAACAGCCAAAATGTTCCCGAAAACAGGCTTCGGAGCAAAACCAAGACGAAATGCTTAAGTCCGAATAAAAATAGGCAGGAAACATTCCTCACATTGAACGCATAAACATTGTTACTCTGAAATACTAGTTTATGCAAAAACAGTGCCTCGAAGACTAAAATGCCGCTTTACTCCCGAGCGGCAACCAATTTTCGTAGCCCTGAGAATTAAGAAGACTAGAAATGACTGCCTAATGAAGTGTACGTTTATAATACATACACGAGCCTAAGAGGCAAACAGTTCCTCTTACCATCTGTCCTTTCAATATCCACATTGATACCTATTGCCAGCGCAGAGGCATCGTACCCTGCCATTGTTAAAAAGTAACAGCCACAAGTATTTAACGAGTGTGTGTCATTTAAATGACTAAGAGACCCATTAAAACACTCCTAGGAGGCCGCATGTTCCCATGACAACATTAGTTAGTTAAATTGGTAAATCTGTATTACCCCTATCTAAATTAGCAACTTTATTCTTACTATTTAAAAGTGGAATTTTCATGCTGCATGATTCCAATAATAATGCTCTTTGTTCTAGACTCCTTTACAATTAAAAATTCTTCATTCAGAACTTAATTATTTTACGTTTCTGACTTATTCATATTTTAAATTTATTTTTGCCTTAGCGCGTTAATTATCAAGCCTTACCTCGTTACTTATAACCATTCCTGGTCCTCTAATAATTTCACGTTGGTTTTCTTATGCTCCAGACGTTACAATGATCGAAAAGGCGCTCCATGAAGCTACTTCCGTGTACACCAGTCTCTACTATTAGCCCTTACTGAAATACTTTCCAGTGGCATAATTGTAGCATCCCGAGACTTCCCTGAAGACGAAAGAAGACACAATACTTGGGCAGAATATATATATTCAGCACAGAGGTGTTTGGGCTGCTGACATGGCCGGAAAGGCCAGCCCACCTAGCGCGGTACAAGAAGGCAAATTCAAAAGTGCAAAAGTGGCGCCTCGCCAATACCGAGGGATAAACCACCATTGTATTACATAGCCTCTCTCCTCTTTTGAGCGTTGTCCCCGGCGCTCCTGAAGGTCAACCTCCCTTGTCAGCCATTACAACGTAGTCGGTGCTGTAAAGATACACCCGCTATCCGACCGTGTCAGTCACCAAATTAGCGTGCAACTGAGATAATTGACCTCAGCGTCACTGATCCCTCTTGGCAACTTAACTGGGTCTGGAGTTCCGTCCGGTTTGGAAACTTGATTCAAGAATGGGGAATTGTGCTGGCCATTAGGCCTGTCCATAGATAGATGAAGGAACACTGGCAGATCCATAAGAGTGTAGTGCTTCTGTTCCTCCTTGCCACGTTGTTCCCACTTTGAACGTTAGGGAAAGTTTTTAACGAAACTTCCAGATGGTTTACGGCTACCGTCACTTCAGTTGTTAATAGCTTTTCTGCAGAACACAGGGCTGAGATAGATGCTGAAGGTAGACGTCAACTTCAACCCTTCTACTAGGAATCACCGCCATTCTCCCATCCGTAGCATATGTCCTTCATGCGCTCCGCTGAGGTTCATTACGCAGCAGTGAAAATCAGGATACATAACCTTTATGATAGGGTTCGCTTTTCGCTGTCACTAATGTGGCGTCCCGAGACTTCCCTGAAGATGAAAGAATGCACAATACTCTGGCAGAATATGTATCCAGCACAAAGAAGATGTTTGAGCTACTGTCATGGCCCGAAGGCCAGCCCACCCAGCTAGGCACATGAAGGCAAATTCAAAAGTACAAAAGTGGCCCCTCACCAATACCGAGGGATACAACTTGGCGAAAATTCAGTTTACCACTCTTAGATTTCTTGCATCCAGTATTCTGTGTCAGGCATCACAACGTTCGTGGTGCCTTAAAATCCACCCGCAAACCAAGAACAGCAAGCATATAATGTTCCTGCACGTGAGGAGGCATTTGATTCAGACGTTACTTATGTATCTCGTTAATTTCATTGCTTATGCAATTTCGTTCTGTCTGTAAACTGCACTAGAGAGAGACTAATGCACGGGTTTCATGCTTTCCGAGGCGGAATGGTGCACTACAACTGTGGCAACTCTTACTGTCAATCGCTGGACGTAAGCACACTGCTTCTAAGGCGAAACCTGTTATAAAAGTAGAAATATAAAATAATTTTACGCAACTATTATTCTACACCTATTTCCTCTATCCACTTTGCCCTCATCTCAGTGCTACCAAGCCATCTATCTCGGTCCCACTCAGCTAGGGGAGACCCAGCGTTAGTGATGTCTGTTCACCTAACTGCCACCATAATATAGGTGGCATTGACAGCTCCATGATGGACCCTTGCAAGTGGTTCAAGTCTGGTGTCACGTGGGTTGTCAATAGGGAGGCAAAGTTGGGATTGCCGCTAAGGAATTCAGTCCTCCTCAGCTAAGATCCCTCCTCCCTATCATAAAGGTTTTGTATTCGGTCGTGCCCCTTTGGACCGGACTCGCTTACAGATGTCGTTAATGTGGCGTCCTGAGTCTTGGCTAGAGCTGTAACTAGCCAATGGTAGTATTTTAAAATCCACACTACTAAAGTACAAGAATGCTTGATAGGCATTAACACGGCTTTTAGGTCATGACCGCAGAGCGTAAGTACAACCTGGGGCGACCGCAGTCCCCCCGCGGTTAAACATACACTTCAATAAATGGTAGTTTTAAACAATCATATAGATCCGGAATCATGCACGGATATAGGGACAAGGTAACTATTTTGAACTAGTAGTTTTCACCTCTATTTATCTCAGCGTGACTTTATGCTACTTCATGCCTACTTAAATGGCTTCAGCTACCCAGAAAGTAGGTTTGACAATTCCAGCATCTTGGTTCCTTACCCACTTGGTTACTAACTCGTTCAAGTGGCATATTTTAAGATTCACAAAGCTTTTGGAGATACTTTTAGGCAAACATCAATTGTCTCCTAGGCAGTAGTGATGTACTTGGTGCGGTAAAAAGCCTTACCTGATTGCCTGTCTCACCGAGTTTGGATCTTCCTGCATTCTTGCCATATAAACGAACCAAATCTTGAATTCTCCAATTACATACACGCAAAACGGTCAGAACCGACCCCCCAACCTTCGGCCTGCTTCAAACTCACATCCCTTGAGACCGGCATCCCTCCCGGAACCCTCCCATTGTTGTCAAAAGCCTTCCCTTCATTTCCCACCTCTCAGCTCCAAACTTGTACAATACTTCAAAAGTAGCCTGAAAACCAAATTACACCACTTCCCATAGAAGATAGCAAGGCTGTTGTTTGCAAAACGGTATAAATGCAAAGCCTTCTTATAAAATTCGTCGTCATAGAAAAAAGATAGGGAAAGGGGGAAGTACAATACCATACGCAAATGCCTGTCACACAGCACAAGCAACAGTTAGGGCGCTCGTTGTACAAAAAGGAAGAGAGAGCCAGAACGGTACAAATGCTCATCGCAGTGTTAGGTGTAGCAATAGCAGTGGCAGAAGTATTAACGGTGGTAATACTAGCACTTGTAGTAAAATGTTAGAAAACTTCGCGTATAAATGGACTGGTGAAAAAAATGCGTGCATGTCGGTAGCAAAAAAATCAGTCTGTGGCACCGCTTGTGCCTTCAATTGGAACGGCAATTCCACTTCCGGCAGTTCCAGCCAGTGGATTGAATGGTGGTGGGAGGGTGATGCGGCGTTTTAAAGGTGGAAGGTGGCTGTTGCTATTGGGAACGCGTGGAATGCCTTTCTTGGGAAGCGCGTACTTCGGTGGTGGTTTCACTTCCACCGCATCTGGTTGGGGTTTCGACTCAATCGAGCAGGGAGTGTTTTCCACTTTAGGCTGTGGTTCGTCTTTTACTGCCTGTGGGACAACAATCTAACAAAAAAAGATTACACTAACGTGTCTACTGAGAATAATTCGTCTCACTGTCTCAGTCCTTACCTGCTGTTGTCCAGCCAGGAGGAGGTGACGCAGGGCCCTCACTTCTGAGTTCAAACCATCCAGTTTCAAGCGCAGAAGTGTGTTATCGGATTCCAGGCGTCCAGTTACTTCATCACGCATCGAGAGACGTGCCCGTTTGTTCTCCCGGCACCGACGAACCGCCTCATTGTTTTTGCGTCGTCGCTCCCTATACCGTTCATCGTCGTACTGACTCGGTGGACTACGAATGTCTTAAGTGAAAACATTCAACCATTAATATCTACTGAATGTAAGAGTGCCTCTAACAACGAGTATATCCAGCAGTTACTTACGTCCATTACGTCGCCTAGTGGGTTCATTTGGGATCTCAATTCTCTGCTGAGGTAGCGGTTGAAGTCCAAGTGGAAGACACGGAGACGACTGGTGGAGATCCCACGAGGGGGTTGCGTGGTTGTCAGCGTTGGAGCCATCACTTATCAACGGAGAGGCTGTGAGAGCCGCGGCAGAAATAAGAGCTTGAAGACCAGTGCAGGCGGGCGGGGTGATGGGATTTGGGGTGGTGTTCCAACTGCAGGATTGTGGACGACTTGCATTGTAGCTGCCTTCCAGAGCTGCCTGGGGTGATGTCGAAGTTAACACCGCCAATTCTGTGAGTTTTCCAACTAGGTAAAGGACAAAAAATACGAAGAAGTTGGTTATTCGATTTTGCCTTCCCGATCCTCAGTCTTTATCTTCAAAGTTTCGGAGTGGTCCAATAGTCAAGTGGGAAGGAAAGGAAGCAACGAAGGGAAGATCGGGTGGAAGTGGGGAGGTAGAACGGGAGAACGCTGTTACCTTCACCGAAATCTGCTGAGGCAGAGAGGGAGAGGGAAAGGGAGAAGGTTGCGCATGACTCACGGCCGGGGTGAGGCAGGCACGCGTCATACATTGGTCTCGGTAATAATTTCTGGAAGCCTGAGAATTTGTAAACACACACAGCAGCGGTGGTGTTAGTGGCAAGCAAGAATTAAAGTCACTAAGTCAATCATTTGGTCAGGTGCGGAACAGAAATCGTGGACGTTAAATGATGATGGTGCGTGTTATCGAAATAGAACACGTGGATAACCCTCGATGTCTCTCCAGCAGCTTTATGAAAGCCTCATCTAAACGGAGTCAGATTTTGAGCGTTCCAAACATAAATGCTATCACCGCAACCTTGGTGGGAGTTACACAGCACAAAATTCATTCTGCATCGAGAGGTCCTCACGATACGATTTCACAATTCTCCCGTTTTAATAAAAAGCAGTTGCTGCACCGATCTCACCAAAAACTAAATTTGATGAGTTGCGAGCTGCTTCAGGTAGGTACTTATGAAACGAAAGTAAAGCGAAAAAATGAATGAGAAATAACGCTAATGAGGTATCTAGGAGGTCAGTGAAAGACACTCCAAAACGACCGCCCACTGTCGCGTCACGTATATGTGACGCGTTCCCTTTATCAGGTTAATAACAACTGCCGCTGTACCAAATTGTAAGGTGCAACCAAATTAAACAACAAAATAGATTAGAGGGGTTTTTAGTCTGTCGGTGGCAATTATGTATTGTTAGTTTCTGAACAGAATAATGGTGGATCGAACGTGCATTGTGTAGTCTATGGAAGTCAATTTACCTCTGAGGGTTCGATAGCAAAAGCGTCAGAAAACCCCTTCTTTTGTTTACCATTTTGCATAACTTCCCATATTACCATCACGCCTCTCCAATTCAAAGATTTTTTCACTGTACCTAAGAAAACTAGTTTTTAAAATGACACTATATTCACTACATACCTAGATAACATGCATCTTTGAGCTGAAGACGAAGGACACAAAAAATCTTAATCACTCTAAAATATCGATGAGCAGCATCAGGTGTGTCAAACTTATCTGTTCATTACCTCGCATCGTCTATGAAAATCGTGAAAACTCAATGAGAGTTCAGTTGTGATTCCTCACTTTTCCACACTACTGAGGTGTCGATACTACAATTTGTATCCAAGCCGTTGTCAAGTGCTCGATCAAAACGGTTATTGAGGAGAAGCCTTAAGACCGTCAGGCAGACGGCCGAACGTTTCCATGATCATGTTACACTTTACTCTATTAGTTCTGATCCATAATTTCGGTATAGCTTTCAACTGCCATGCAAAGCTACCTATCCTTCTACCGATAGGTTAAGTGGACATGAGTATGCGAAGTAAATAAACCTGTGTCATACAGCCACATTACAGTTCAAATCAATTGGTATGTTATCTGCCCTCTTCCAGGCTAGTCTCATGCTCCAATTCAGTCACTTATTGCCGCAATTGGAAGCAGCCCTCCCCGGCCCTTCGCGTCTGTCCGGCGGGAGGCGCGAAAGGATGAGTTAGTGAACAGCCGGATGAATAAGCTACACACATTATGTGGGAGAACACATAAACACGTGTTTAGATTGCATGCAGACAGCACACACACATATACACAGATGGACACACTTTGTTAGCCACTTGCGCCCAAAGCGTATAAGCCCGGACATTAGAGACCCAGAGAGAGAGAGAGCGTTATCCACCCAAAACGCGTCTACGTACGTGCGTTATGAGTCATCGCGAAAACAACAGTAAGTGGCAACGGCAGCAGTAGTATTGGAGGCTACGCGTGCAAGGGGAGGGGATGTGAGTAATACCTCTTCCTCTACCCCTCGTAAGATGGGATGAAGTTAGACAACAGCACACGCAATGGGCCACGTCATAGGCCAGGGTACGATAGGAGGCACAGGCACGCTCATTCACCCACTCACTCACTCATTCGCCTAGTCGGCCAATCGGCCAACCAGGAAGCCAGTTGGCTGCCCCCCCCCCCCCAACCTACCCCACCACCACCCTACTACGACAGAAGGCAGTTCCGTCGGTTTGTGGGCTCGCCCGTGCTAGCTAGCTAGCTACCTAACCGGCCGGCTCTTGCTTTTTTATCCTTTTCCTCCTCCGCTTCCCACTAATTCCCTCTCGACGAATTAGTCAGCTGCCTACCTTCAATGAATAATGGGTTGAATAGGCCCATGAGGGTTACGTGCACCCACACGCACCTCGGTGTTCCTCGATTCCGCCAGCCAGCAAGTGGCAGAGGTATTTACGTCTCTTTCTCTGCTCAATTTTGAACTAGGTAGGAAAAACTCAGGGGATAGATGGACGCCCTATGAAACCATATTTCGAATTGAGTCTATCATTCCTTGGATTGTTCTCCCGTCGAGGGAGAAATTTGGATGACTGAATCTGCTACCATCGGTGCTTCTACCACAGACGGAGACAAACACCTTTTAGAGTTCTCCCTGAAATTCTGCTTCTATTGGTGAATCGCACCTATTGAGTTGCCATCCAGTTAAGAGTAATTGTGTGGAAACCATAAAGAACTCATTTGTGAATGCAAATCCTGGCATAAAACCACCTAGTGAAATGGTACAGACAACAGCTCGAAAATCTAAAGAACGAAACGCCTGACCGATGAGAACGTGACCGCTATTGAATGAGCGATAGTTTGTGAAGTCATATTCTACAAAGAAGGGCTGACTTTGAAAAGCTTACAAACAAAACCCCGAGTGAGGTAACAATGCTCCGGATGAACGCAGCCAGACGGCAATCAGTCGATTTAAATCCTGCAAATAAACAAATTGACAAGAGATTTGTAGAGCTATTATAATTCTACATTGGATGACTCAATTTGCCCACGTTTCTGTTTTCACAATCGTCAATGAAGAAGAGATCGGAGGGTAGAAGGTAGTACGTGGTTACCCTTCTTCGAAAGTCTGTTCCGGTTAGTAACTTCTCGTCTATTGCAGTATCACCCATTTAAATTTAGTTTTTGAAAACTGTGAGTTATTCAATGGGAAATTTGTGTTCGGTCGTGGAACAAATCGATGCTACAGAACAAAAACTTCAACGGACGAAGGAGCATTAATCGGACAGCAAGGTCACTGAGTTCGAACGCTAATGTCAGCCCACTCAGGGTTCCAGCCGGTATTCCACATATTCCATATTGTGGCACTAAGGATGAAGTAGGTTGGGAAAAGAAAAGGGGGAAAACAGATGTACCTAGGAAATTACACGGCAATTTGCGATTATCGTCTTCAAACTGGTTGCAGCGTTAAGAGAGCAATTTGGAATGTCGAATGTGCTCTGTGTTTGTGCCTTGGGCAGCTGGTGAAAAAAAAATCCTTATTTCATACTAGCGGGTAGTAAGAAACTCTCATTTGGTTCTCAATTAACGTTATTCCCACTTTTCAGGTGAACACCTGTTGAAAAAACCATAGATTATTCAACCCCGAACGCTAGTTCTTTCACGAAGCAAATCAACGCAGCAGCGCAGCCA